CTTGGATCAACTGGTAGCACTTTGGACTTTGGTTCAGAAGGTTGTGGGGAAAACCCTCTTGTCTAAATAGCTCATAGGTTTTCAAATGCAGACCGGCGGTTTTCAAACATTTTTGCATTGTGCCCCCTTTGGACCTTAATGTCCCAACCGTATCTTTCTAGAACATTTCTTGTTTGCGGGCTCCTCAGGAGGTACGGGCTTAGCTCACTCTTGGCCCTGGGCTGGTTAGCAACTGATTTCAATCAGAGGGAACAGTATTTTGGTTTCTCTCTCTCTCTCTCTCTCTCTCTGAATCCTGGCCTCCCCTTGACTTCTCTCCCCCCCAAAAAAAAACTTGGTCAAAATGCCGGTTTAAAAAAAAATTCTTACCCAGTTACCTGTTGGGATGTGCCCCCCAGTTTGAAAACTCCTGCTCAAGACCAACAAACCAGTACAACAACAACAACAAGATTATATTTGTACAGTGCTGGGGGAGTGCTGCATTGTCAGTGGTCTGGGCTTTCAGATGAGTTGTTAAAGTGAGGTCTTGCGCCGGTGAGATCCTGGCAAGGTGGATGTTAAAGATCCTGATTCACTTTAGGAAAAGAGAAGGGAGTTACTCCCAGTGTCGGGCCAACAATGCCCCGGGTAAAATCTATCATTACTTCAAGGTTGTTTGTGGGACATTGTGTACACAAATAGACTGCTGCATTTCCCACAAAATACCATCGGTATATTTCGCAGTAAAACTCGAGTGAAACATGTTTCGATGACCTGACAAGGCACTATATCAAATGCAGGACTTATTGGAAAAGAGAAAAGCGTTTCTACTGGTGTCCATGCCAACAATCCTCTACTGGACTACTTTGTGATGTTTTGACATTCCTTGAATGAAGGGTAATTTTTCCAGCTGTCAACCTTGGCTGTTGAGTAACAGCAAGCAGAGATTGGGCCATCGTGTCTGTGCTTGTGTTCGCTCCCCACTGGAGCTCTCTGCTCTAATCCCATTCCCTGCTCTCTCCCCATCGAGTCTGTGCTAATGCTCACTCCCCCACTGGAGCTCTCTACTCGCAACTCCATTCCCTGCTCTCTCCCCCATTGTGTCTGCTGGTACTTTCTACTCCAATAAAGCTCCACTCTGATCTCCTCTGTTGTCTGGTTTGTGTCTACCTGGATGAGAGAGATTGCGAGACAGATGAAGTACACCAAAATAAAATTCCATTCAGCAGTTGTTGAGTGAGTGATAGGGGATGCAGGGCTGGCGGATGAATTTCTAAAGCTTGGATCATGATCTCTCGTTGGATACTTTATTTCTGTATCTATTCCGATCTCTCCCCATCGTGTCTGTGGCTCTTTACAGGACTTCTGTCAAGTGTAGTTACCTTGTATTTGTAGGCACACAATAACAGCCATTTTGCAAGATTCCACAGGGACAGTGGGGAATGCAGAGTGAATTGGGAAGCTGTTCGCTGTCTGGGATGTGCACTTCCATAGTAGTGTGGCCTTGATAGGATCAGCTGTTCTTTTTATTTCTGTGAGGTTAAGAGATGAACTAGATTTGCTTTCCATAGCTGCTGAAATCTGATGCAACAGTAGAGTATAGCATGAGCTCAGTTTGCTAAGAATATCGCCACAGGATTAACCGGCAAAGCAGCATATACAGTAGTACGTTTCCCTGTAACAGGCTGAAAATCTCTGCTTGTTCGAGAGCGCTACATTGTCAGAGACGCTGTCCAGCGATTGAGATGTTAAAGTAAGGTCTCGTCTGCCTCTGTTCAGATGGACGTTAAAAATAATAATACTAATCCTTGCATTTGATGTAGCACCTTACATCTTCGAGCCGTCTCAAAACCTTTCACAGGATATACTGTAAAGTGAATTGAATGTCAATTGCACACAGTGTCCCACAAATGTAGTGGTTTGAGTAATCAATTTTTTTTTAAATGGGATTATTACCCCTGAAAAACGATCCACCAATCGACTTAACAACCGGGTTACTACTTACTGCTACGTAAACAGGCGTATGGAGTAAGGGAACTTGCCTAACGTTTCACCCTGCCCGGCAAACGAGGGCTCTGACCACCAAACTACAGGACTCCACATTCAGGGATTATTAAATTGTTAAATGCTATGTTTGGCTCATGTCCATCATGTCCTCTACAGACATGAAATAATCTGTAAGCACTATCTTAGGATCAGCTGTTCAGATGATCCTGTAACTTGGTGATTAGAACACTCGCCTCGCAATCGAGTGGACCCGGGTTTGATTCCCAGGTGGCGCAAAACCTTAGGCACGTTTCCTTACTCCACATGCCTCTGTTTACCTAACAGTAAGTAGGAACCTGGTTGTGAGTCTGATTGTCGGATTGTTTTCGGGGGTAATAATACCTTTAAAAAATAATAATAATTTGGTCATTTAATTGTCAGCTGTTTGTGGGACACTACTGTGCACAATCGGCTGCCGTGTTTTGCCCACAAAATACAGCCAATTTTCTTTATAGATAAGGTGATATATGAAATGCAAGGATTATTATTAGGTTTCCATTCGCTGAGCAGAATAACAAACACTGTTTTGTGTTTCAATCACTAAGTAATCTCAGGGTTGGGGTATTGGAGAGGAAGAATGTGAAAGTGTATGGGGTTATATATATAGAATTACAGTATTTAGCTACAGTGAAGGAGTTTGCACAAGGTTAGGCTCGAGGAGTTGAATGGCCTTGTTCTGTACTATACAGTGATTAATGTTATAGAGTTTTTAAATCGACCTGCTCAGTGAACACTGGCCTACTTCGTATACACACCAGACAGCTCCTCAGCTCTCCCCACCGATAACTCGGGCTCCCAGTCAGCGCTGTTGAGGTGCTTGACACGTGCTCCTGATGTAAAAGGCCTGGATATAAATGTCAGATTGTTGTTTTGCATGTGGCCCTTTCTCTTCCGCTATCCCCCCGCTCTCCCCACCCCGTACGAGCTGTGATCTTCACGAGTTGTGGAGCCCTGTAGCTTAGGGCTTAGAGCACTCGCCTCGCGAGCAAGAGGACCTGGGTTCAATTCCCAGATGGGACGAAACCTTGGCCACATTTCCTTACTTCACACGTTTCTGTTTACTTAGCAGTAAGTAGGAAATTAGTTGTTCAGTCAATGAGCAGATCACTTTCTGGGGGGCATTAATCCCTCCCAATAAATAATATATTGGTTGCATAATCCACGACTGTTTGTGGGACATTGCCGTGCGCAATTGGATGCCGTGTTTCACCCATAAAATACACTTTACAATATATTCTGTGAAACGCTTTGAGACTTCTCAATGATGTAATATGGTGCTATATCAAATGCAAGGATTTTTGTTATTTATAAGGTAAGGAGCACAAGCCCTGATGCACAACTAGTGAAACATGAAAGGATATGGGGTGGCGAGCTGGAGAATGCAATTAATACTTGGAGTCCTGTAGTTGACTGATTCGAGTACTTGCCTTGCAAGCGAGAGGACTTGGGTTCGATTCCCTGGCAGGGCGAAAGGTTGGGCAGGTTTCCTTACTCCATACACCTCTGTTTACCTCGCAGTACGTAGGAACCCAGTTGTTAGTCGATTGATGGATCGCTTTTGCGGACATAATAATCCCTCCAAAAAAAAAAAAAATGAATTAAAAAAAACTTGGTCACTCAATCCGCTACTGTTTGTGGGACACCGCTGTGTGCAATTGGCCGCCCGCGTTTCGCCCACAAAATATACAGTCAATCCACTTCACAGTATATTCTGTGAAGCGCTTTGAAACGTGTCGAAGATGTGATCAGGCGCGGCATCAAATGCGAGGACTATTAATCAAAACAAGGGACTTAAAGTCACAGGTAACAGCAGCACGTGCGCACATCCGATGGGCTTAGTGGCCTCCTTGTGTTCACAAATGGTCCGTTTCGAGGCGTTGATCCCTCTCCCCCATGTTCCCTGTCTGATTTGCGGATCTATATATTGTATCGACTGTTTGGCTATTTCCAGCATGGAACAGGAAATTCCTGCCCGGTATGACCAGAATGTTCTCAAAACCAGCATCATGCATTGCTACACATTAACGGCCGTATCAATCCCTTGCTCTTTATGCTTCTAAACTCTGATTTTTCACTATTTGGGTTCAAATAAAAATTAGTCACCCTGTTACTGTTTCTGGGACATTTCTGCGTGCAAATCGGCTGCCATACACCTTCACTTCGCGGTAAAATCTTGTGCAGCGCTTTGAGACGTCTCGACGATGTGATAAGGCACTTTATCAAACACAAGAATTGTTATTATCGTCATCGTCATGGTGTCAAGGAGGGAGGGAGGGTGTAGGAGATGAGATGCGAGCTGCACTTGCATCAAGGAGTTCGGTACCACATCTTTATCTCCAGGCAGAGTATAAACTACCAGTCAGTGGTGACTGAGAGCTACTGAGGGGTGTGCACACAATTATAAGATTGAAGACTACATGAACAACAACACCTTGCATTTACACCGTAAATAGCGTCCTGGAGCGCTTCACAGTGGTGGAGTCTGACAACGAGCCAAGGGGAGGGGGGAGGTGACCGTAAGCACGATCAAAAAGGCCTTTAGGTGGGACTTGAAGGTGGGGAGGGAGAGGCCAAGGCAGAGGGATTGAATGAGAGAGGGCCAGAGTTTTGGAGGGTAGTGGCTGAAGGCACGGCCACCGATGGTGTGTGGAGTAAGGAAACTTGCTTAAGATTTCGCCCTGCACGGGAATCGAACGCAGATCCTCTCGCTTGCAAGTCGAGCCCTCTAACCGCTAAACTACATGACTCCATTGAATTAATGAATTCCTCAATGATTAAAAATTATCAATTCCCAATCCCGGGATCAATGGACTAAAATCACTAGCATCAGGCAGACCTGAAAGCTAGCTGCTCTAAGGAAAGCTTTTGATGTAATTGCCCTCCTTTCGAAAGGTTCTTTCCCCACAGATTGTTTTAAAATAACTGAAAAACATTTTCTCTTTCTTTTTTTCATGACCTGTGGCTATCTGCAACAGAGAAGACGATATTACGGTAAGACACCAATGAAATTTCAGTCTAATCCTACCTGTTCCTGCGCCCGGAGGAGGAGGGGGGGGGGGGGTGGTCAGGGGATGGGGAAGCAAATCCATGGGATGAGGTCTGCTTTAAAAGACGTGTGTGGTTCCCCTTGTGTTAACACTAAACTGACTTTTAGCCGAGCACAGAGGGGACATTTAATTTGTGAGTGGCCTGCACTGCTGCAGAGTTGTAAGTTTGACAGGTACAGCGCTCAGATTTAAATCATTTTAAAATAAATTTTAAAAAACTGTTTTGGTGCTCGTGAAAAATGAGGAGTACTTGTGTTGGGAAATTGAACTCCTCTATGCTTGTACTTAACACAATACATCTACATTTATACAGTGCCTTTCATGTCCCAAGATACTTGACATTAGTGTCATTCCTACAACTCAGGTTAGATGCAGAATAAAGCTACAATCCATCCCCTACTCCCAGGTCAGCAGTGTGTTAGGTACAGATAAAAGCTCAGTTCTGCCCTTTGAGTACTCCCAGATCAGCTCAGCACAGGTTAGCGATAAACGTAAAGCACCTTGTACTGTCCATCCACACTCCTAAATCAGGAGTTAAACTTACTCTACAACTGTCCATCCCAGGTCAGGGACAGCACGAGTTAGAGACACAGTAAAGCCCCCTCTTCGCTATCTGTCCACACTCCCAGGTCAGGGTTAGATATGTAAAGCTCCCTCTACAATGTCAGTCCACACTCCCAGATTAGGGCTAGAGATAGAGTGAAGCAGTGCCTTTGCTTTAGTAATCTGTCTGACCTGCTCTCTAAGAGACTCCACACTACACGTGGGTGCAGTTTCTGTTTTGTGGACCAATTATTCTTCTCGCCTGTGGCTCCCTCTCCACTGGAACGGAGAGGGTTTCCGCCTCTTCTGATTGCCTTTAGCCTACCACCTGCCCGGCTGTTGGGTAGCAGAAACATTTGTACATTCCATCTCTGCAGGGTCCAACCGTAGATCCCAGAGTTATAATAATAATCCTCGCATTTAATATAGTGCCTTATCATGTCTTCGAGACATCTCAAAGCGCTTCACAGAATATACTGTAATGTGAATTGACTGTTTATATTGGAGGTGAAATACAGCAGCCAATTGCGCACAGCAGCGTCCCACAAACAGTCATAGTTTGAGTGATCACAATTATTTATTTACTTATTTATGTTTGAAGGGATTATTACCCCCGGAAAAGCGATCCTCCAATCAACTAACAACTGGGTTCCTACTTAATGTTAGGTAAACAAGTTGTGTGGAGTAAGGAAACTTACCCAGCGTTTTACCCTGCCCGGGAAACGAACCAAGGTCCTCTCGCTTGCGAGGATAAGTGTTCTAACCATTACACTGCAGGACTCCACAATTGAGGCATGTGCCGCCCAGTGCCCCATAATCTACTGTTTCTACGTCTCATAAACGTTTTTTTTTTGTCTTTTTTTACAAAACAAATTCTATTTATCTTTTTTTTACTTTCTTCCTGAAGTGTTCTCACCTTATGTCCATCGCCCCGATTGGTTGGGTTGGTGAGCCTGCCACTAACTTCTCCCAAGACCTTGACGTCAGTGTCTCTACCTGATCAGCAGAAGGGGAGGTGTGTTTGGACTACATGCGATATTATTCTCCATCTCTTCCCTTCCTTCACCCCCACCAACAAACTGCACGGCTGACAATTGATGCTGGTGGGCTGTTTTTTGCTGCCAATCACATATCTGGTTTCTGGCTCATGAGACCACCGCATCACGTATGTCTCGTTTCACCATACGACCCTGTCAGACCTGTATCTGGCCCATTGCTACAGCCAAACCTGTTGAATTATGTGGAGTCCTGTAACTCAGTGTTTACAGCACTCACCTCCAAGTGACAGGACCTGGGTTCAGTTCCAGGGCAGGACAAAACAAACGTTGGGCAAGTTTCCTTACTCCACACGCCTGTGTTTACCTAGCAGTGAGTACGATCCTAGTTGTGATTTGAATGGCAGATTACTTTTCTGGGGATACTAATCCCTTCAAAAAAATAATAAAATAAAAATGTGTTCACGCAATCCATGACTGTGTGTGGGACACTGCTGTGCGCAATTGGTTGCCGCATTTTTTCCCCACAAAGTGTACAGTCAATTCACTTTACAGGATATTCCATGATGCGCTTGAGATGTCTTAAAGATGTGATAAGGCGCTATAAAAAATGCAAGGACTATTATTATTCACAGATTGTAGTGTGAAAATCGGACAAAGTGATACCGTTATTTTGTTAAAATGTGCATCAAATGTCATTGCAGGTCAAAAGTGATAACGCAAGCACCCAAAATGCCCTCAAAGGATCTGCTGTGACAAAGGGCTGCAGCCGGTTCTTACCTAAAGGCACCAAGGCGAAAGTCAACCTTGAGGATCAAGGGCGGCAGAAGGTTTCTTTCACCTTCAATGTCACAAAGACTTTACGGAATAGATTCCAGAGTGCCATAGGGGCTGAACAAGATGAGGTCAAAATTCCCCCTCTGGCGTTGACTTTGAGCTCTGGCAGAGGAAGCCAAGACAGTAAGAGTGACTCTGACTCTGCAGGGGCAACGGAGCCGTCTAGCTCGCCCCCCAAGGCCAAGGTGGAGTGGAACAAGATGCACTTCAAAAAGAAGCACCTCAACGATGCAGCCAAACCTGACAAGACGTTGGACAGACAGCCTTCCAGTTCGCTGTGTGAGGCAGTGGTGGAGGTGGCGGTTAAGAAAGACATCTGTAATTCTTCAGGGGAAACTGAGCCTGAGGCGCAGATCATTGCTGAGCCTCAACCACAGTCGGATCAAAATTCCGGGACATCCCACATTGGGAAAGATGATACTGCGGAGGAGTTCAAGATCGTGTCTCCTGAGAGCGATAATCTTAGGAAGTCCTCTCAGTCAGAGGGAGTAGCGCCAGGTCATTTAGCTGGTTCAGAATCTGAGGCAGATTTGCTCCGGACGTCGCCCGCTCGCAAATCGCAGGAACCTGATCGCGATGTTAAGAAAAACGCATCACTTTCCAAACCAGAGGAGGTGGAAAAGGTTTCCTCTCACTCAAAGTCGGACCGAGATAAGAGGAGCGCCGGTCATTCCAAATCTGATCGAGATTCAAGGAGGATTTCATCACGCTCAAAGTATGATCGAGAGGAGAGGATCAGTTCGTCGCGCTCACGCTCTGATAGAGACTTAAGGACCTCGTCCTATTCCAAGTCAGACCGGTCAAGAGCTTCTTATTATCGTGACAAGGACCGAGGGTACCGCAGATCCTCGCCTTACTCTGAGAGAAGCAAGTCGTCCCGTTCCAAACTGGCCACAGATTTAAGAGAAGGATCCTCATTTTCAGATTCTGAGGATGAATCTAGGCGGTATCATTCCAAATCACATGATTTAAGAAGGACATCAATGCATTCTAAATCCTACAGGGATTCAAGGAAATATCAGTCAAAGCTGGACAGAGAGTTGAGGGCAACCTCGTCCTGCTCTGAATCAGAAAGGGAGACAAGAAGGACTAAACCTCAGTCTAAATCAGGCAAACTATCCAGAACTCGTTCTTATGAATCCGAAATTGTGAAAATGAATTCTCCTGAGCCAGACTTGGATTCTCGGAAAAGTTCAAAGTCTGATGGTTATTCGAAGGTAACTTCATCTCATTCAAAGTCAGGTTCCTGTTGTGAATCCGAAATAATTCAAACCAATTCCCCTGAGCCAGATTTAGAATCTGGGAAAAGTTCTAAGTCTGACAGTTACTCAAGGATAACACCAATTCATCCCAAGTTGGTCACCTCTTGTGAAACGCATATAAATGTAAAGAGCTCAGCTCCGCCGGTTCTGGAGTACAGGAAAAGTTACCGGCATGACAGTAATTCAAGGACAGCTCCGTCTCATTCTCAGGCTTGTGAAATAGAGGCCGTTAGTACAGATTCTCCAGAATTAGATTCTAACAGAAATGACAAGCCGGACAGTAATTTTAGGACAGCTTTGCCTCATTGCAAGTCATCTACTTCTTTTGTAACTGAAGTCATCAAGAAGGAGTCCCCAGAATCGGAATTAGACTCTGGCAGGAGTGATAAGTGTGACACAAATTTGCCGACCCCACCACCTGATCCCAGGCCAGACACTTTTAGTGAAATGGAAGCAGTTGACATTGACTCCTCTGATCGCGAGTTAGAATTGCGGAAAGATTCTCTGCACAGTAACTCAGTGAGAACGGCAACTCACTGCAAGGCCTTCTCATCTCCTCAAGAGGAGGCAGTTAGAATGGACTGTTCTGAATCTGATTCGAAGAGAAGTGCCAAAAGAAACATCAGTTTGGTGACGCCTGAATCTCCCTCCACATCCCCTGCTGGCTATGAAATAGATGTAGTCCAAACAGACTCAACAGAATCCAAGTTGGATTCATTAAAAAGTATTCAATCTGACATGAATTTGAGGACAATTCAATCCAGATCAAAGTCGCCCATCTGCTGTGGCATGGACTTAGTTAGAGTGGCCCCTCCTGAAGCAGATTCGGAATCCTGGGAAAGGTGCAAGTTGGACAGTATTTCAGTGATCGCTTCTTCTAATTCTGAGCCCCAGGAGATGAGGATCTCAGCCCCTCACACACCGGGAATGGTTTTGCGGGGAGGACCCTTGGGGCTGGAATCGGAAGAAGAATTCAGAGAGCCTCCCGAGTCGGCAGCAATGCCGATTGTTACCACCTCAGAGGAATGTTGTTTTTCCTTTCATCACAAGATGGACAGGAGTGTCAGTACCTCCTCGTGTTCCACGCCAGACAGATTGAGACACTTCTGCCATTCCAACGTCGAGGTTCAAATCTCAGGGGATTCGCCAAGTTCAAAGCTGGGCGTTGTGATGAAGAGTTCAGCCTGCTCCGGATCGGGCGAGGACTTGACCTTTTCGCCTCATTGCAAACTGGATTTGAAGACATCACCTCATTCCTTGCTAAGTGAGGTGCCGTCTTCAGCTCGTCTCATGTTCAGCGATTTGAAACCCTCGGCTCATTCCAACCCCCGTGAGAGAGAGTCGTCATCCCTCCCCATGCTGGTGGAGAGCAGAACTTCACACATGGTGACAGAAGAGGAGTTTTCACCATGTCCTGAAGTGAAGGAGTCTATGCCCATACCGGGTGGTGCACAATTCACTTCAACTAACTCTAAACTTTCCACATGGCTCACAAAGCACATCGATGGGCACTCAGTTGATGCTCGGCATCCACATAATCAAAGGGAACGACGCGCAAGTACCAGTGAAGGAGACAAAGCTTCTGTGGCAGAATCTGCGGGAGCTAGTTATGAGGTGGTTGATGTAAGTAGCTTTAATCACTGCAGCAGTAAGTTACATGTGGTGCCTGCTGATCAGAACTGGGATTCGTTAGACAAAGAGAGGTTGTACACTGACTCCATGATCTCGGAGGGCAAGCAGCTCTCTAATGTGGAGATGGAAAGTCCAGCTTACTCGATGGAAAATGAAGAGACGCCTTTTTCCACCAGACCGGACAGTTCGGTTAAAGTGGAACTTGAGGAGGATATGGAACTTTCTGACATTGAGGATGAGCAGGAGAGTGAGATAGTGACGGAGGCGGCAGAGCCGTTGAGTACTACTAAATTTGCAGACTCAGAGGACGCGGAATGCAGTTTACCTAATTACCAAACCAAGTCTAACTGTGATAGCAGTTGCATGAAGGCTGAGTACAACAGCATTAGCTCGGATAATGAAAACTATTTGGAAGATGCAAAAAGTAATAGTGATGAGGATAGTGAAGAGAGCAACACGAGTACAGATTCTGAGGACGACCGTGGAATTCCCAGGAATCGCTTGCAATCTGTTGTTGTCGTTCCCAAGAATTCATCATTAACAATGGAAGAGAAGAGCCCCTCAGCGTCCTCATCGTCCTCTCCCCGACGTGGGAGAGGTGACAAGAAACGTCCAAAGGCCGAGGAAGGTGGCAGGTGTGAAGTGAAAGAGACACCTGCCAGTGAACGTCAGGCCAGCAGTTTTCAGACGGAACGCATACCTCTGGAGAGCAGCGATAACCAAAACCGCAGTGGGGCTCTGCCAACCCCGGAAAGCCACCCTCACACGTCTTCTGGTAATCTTACACCGGTGAGGGAGAGCCACGATGGTGTCAAGCAAGAGCTGCTCACTGACACTGCAGACAGCACCAGTCAGCCTGAGAACTTCTCATCAGACAGGAACCAACTCGCTGTCTCACAAGAGAAATCAGACTCCACAGAGGCTCCTGTGGACAAGTATCAGTGGCTGTCCGGTCACACGGCCAGCCATCCAGCAGCACAGAGCAGTACACAGCATCTGTACAGGGTCGAGAGAGACCCGAGAGAAACACCAGACAGCAGACAGATGGACAAGTGGTCACAACAGCACAGCCAAGAGCGCCCGTATTTTCACAGCTCGGAATATGTGGATAGCTTTGACTGGGAATTTGCTCAGCCAGAGAAGCCAAGCAGTAGTTGTCAGCAACCAGACAGCAGTTATGGGCTATACAAGAGACATAGCTCCAGAACAGAGGAAACTGATACAGGGGATGGATGTGGTTACTGTCACAATAATGCAGCCAGCTCCTGGGATCCCAAGGACATCTCTGAACCCACATTGGGCAAATTTAGCAATTATCGTTTGGGTCAAGTTGTGTCTGGCTCAGATGTTCAAGGGCAGGTCCAGCCAGACTCGATGACCGATTACTTTGAGAGTAGGGAGGCTGTAAACCACGGCGGCTCAAGATCTGGCTCAAAAGGTGTGAGCTCTCTGCAAGCTCATGAGATCACCAGCAACTCCAGCAAAGGGACCACCTTGTTGCTTAAAGCTAGCGATTCCACTATAAACAAAGACCCAAGAACCAAAAGCTTGGATAAACGGCCTGACAGTGAGCCCCAGAAACAGCAGCCAGAACCTGGGGTGGACACTGATTCCGAGAGTGATGCTGAGCCAAGAGAGTGTGAGCAAGTTACTGAGCCCGACCCTGAACCCGAACCTGAGCCCGAACCCGATGCCTCCGAGCTTTACAGAGAGTGGGTTGCTCTGGTGTGTAAAATGGAGGAGTTCAGATGCTCCCAGTGGTGGAAGGATCAATCCAAGTCGGGGGTAATGCCTCCTTACTTTGAGTTGATTGACGAGAACCTGTACTTGACAGAGAGGTAAGTTTGTAAACCTTTTGGTTAAGAAAAACGATTGTTCACAGCATTGCCTGAGATCAGATAATGGTGAGGGAAGTCCTGCAGCTTAGTGATTAGCGTGTTTGTCTCGCAAGCGAGAGGACCTTGGTTCAATTCCCGGGCAGGGCAAAGCCCTAGGCAAGTTTCCTTACTTCACATGCCTCCGTTTACCTAGCAGTAAGTAGGGACCTGGTTGTTAGTCGATAGGTGGATCGCTTTTCCGTGGACAATAATCCCTTTGGAATTAAAAAAAATCCACGATTGTTTATGGGACACTGCCATGCGCAATTGGCTGCTACTTTTCGCCCACAATCGCAGTCAATCCTCTTTACAGTATATTCTGTTAAGCGCTTTGAGACATCTCGAAGATGTGAAAAGGGCGCTGTGTCAAATGCAAGGATTATTGGTTTGATTCCCGGGCAGGGCGAAACATTAGGCAGGTTTCCTTACTCCACACACCACTGTTTACCTAACAGTAAGTAGGAACCCGGTTGTTAGTCAATTGGTGGATCGCTTTTCCAAGGGTAATAATCCCTTCAAAATAAAAATAATAAATATATTTTAAAAATTTGGTCAATCAATCCACGACTGTTTGTGGGACACTGCTGTGTGCAATTGGCTGCTGCGTTTCGCCCACAATATACAGGCAGTTCACTTTATAGTATATTCTGTGAAGCAGTTTGAGATGTTTCGAAGATGTGATCAAATGCAAGGATTATTATCTGCCAGTCCCATTTTATGCAAATATCAGGTTGTCTATTATAATAATAATTATTGTATTCCAATCCTAAACTGCCTGTTACAGCAGCACCATGGGGGAGGGAGAGTTATTTTGTGAGGAGAATAAACCAATCTGGCTCCATCGTGATCTGCTACATATCCAGATGGTTTCAAGTGAGAGACAAACAAGTGAAAACCAAAGCTCTATCACTGTTCACTCGTACCTTCTTAGTCCGGGTTTCTAATAATAATCCTTGCATTTGATACAGCCCCTTATCAAGTCTTCGAGACGTCTCAAAGCGCTTCACAGAATATACTGTAAAGTGAATTGACTGTATTTTATGGGCGAAACTCGGCAGCCAATTACCACAGCAGTGTCCCACAAACAGTCGTGGTTTGAAGGAACAATTTTTTTTTTTTTGAAGGGATTATTACCCCCGGAAAAGCAATCCGCCAATCTGCCAACAACCAGGTTTCTACATACTACTAGGTAAACAGAGGTGTGTGGAGTAAGGAAACTTGCTCAACATTTCGCCCTGCCCAGGAATCGAACTTAAGTTACTCATTTGCGAGGCGAGTGCTCTAATCACAAAGCCACAGGACTCCACCTTCCTAACCATTTTTTTAAAATAAAGGCTAGGACTCTGCAATAGTGAACGATTGAATTCCAAAATTCATCGATAAGAGGAAATCAAATGCAAGGATTATTATTTATTATTATAAAATCTAGGGAGAGTTTTGGAAGTTTAAACTATAGTGACTTTAGTGAGACTGGGCTGAGAGTGATCAAAACCTCCGGGAAAGGTCAGTGCATGACAATACTTGTCTATCCTCCTTGGGTGGGAGTTAAGTGGAATCTCCTTGGAGCTGAACTGGCTCTAAGGAGACCCTGCAAGCCAAAGTCCTAGCTGGACAAGTAGTGGGAAAGCTTGCCAGACGGTGATATCAATAAATCACTTATAGAGCACCTTTCATGCCAGATGGCGTCTCGGAGTGCATTCAATGTAGGTTTAGCTGGTTAAACTCCTGGAGTTAACCCCAACACACACTATGGGTCCCCAAGCCTTGGTTCTTGCCAAACTGCGTCTAATACTCTTTGGAATTAGGTAGTCAGGATGCCTCTCTCCAGGGAGAGAGTGCACATTCCATTCCAACAATCTGTCTCTGGGATTTCCATGTGTAGGTGGGATGCATAAAATTCTCAGTTTGGTTTGGAGACTGTTAAGCACGGTGATGGGTTTCCGTGGGTGTCAGACACCCGGCTGGTCACAAAAAAAGACAATACGCAGGCTGGGAGGTTTCTCACAGTCAGGACCAGTCTAAAGTGACCTCCTCCTCCATCCCCATAAAATCACTAGAGCTACTCTTCCCCATAACACAGTCTAGTCGAGCAGCCTGCAGCGAAATACCAGGTCCTGTTCTGTATCAGTGAGCATTTTGTGCTGTGGGAAAAGTTTTATTTTATAGTCTTCTCCCTCTCTAATTGGAAGAAATCTTTGGATAAAAATGACTCCATCTGGTCTTTATTTCCTGTTGAAATGGTGTAGTTACCACCAACTCAACAATCGTCACTACCACAAATGTGGCTTCAAAAGCAACTCTCAACCCCCCCCCCCCTCCTCCCGGCTAACATTCCAGACAGGACTCAGAGACGGGAAGGAAGGAATTGCAGGAACGCCAAGCCACTTGCTTCTCCCTGGGCGGCTCAGGATTCGTATGAGGTGCAGAGATCTTCACTGCCGTAGTTTCCAGAGTCAGGGAGTGTTGTCCACACTCAGTTCATGGAGTCCTGTAGAGTAGTGGTTAGAGCACTCACCTCGCAAGCGAGAGGACCCAGCTTTGATTCCTGGGTAGGGTGAAAAGTTTCCTTACTCCACACGCCTCTGTTTACCTAGTAGTAAGTAGGAACCCGTCGATTGGCGGAACGCTTTTTCAAAGTTCAATAATCAGGGTTTTGTAGGAAATTGCGGAGGTCTGGTTTTGCTAATGTGAGAGATGCGTTTTGTGAGACAATACTGATTAAAACTATTAGCATATATTTCCTGAACATGTAGGTATGTTTAAAATACAAAAAATGTTTGAGTAGTAAGGTACAGCACTTACCTAGGTGGTACAATCTTAATGGGGGCGAAGGAAGAGAGAGACCTGGGGGTTCATAGAAGTAAATCTTTGAATGTGGCAGGACAGGGAGATAAAGCTGTTAAAGAGCATCTGGGATACACGGCTTTATAAATGGGGGCATAGAACACAAAAGTCAGGAAGTTATGATGAACCTTTATATAAAACACTGAATAGGCCTCAGCTCGAGACTGTGTTCAGTTCTGGGCCCCACACTTCAGGAAGGATGTCAAGGCATTGGAGAGGGTGCAAAGGAGATTGACCAGAATGGTACCAGGAATGAGGGACTTCAGTTATCAGGAGAGGCGAGAGAAACTGGGATTATTCTCCTTGGAGGCAGAGAAGGTTAAGAGAGACTTAATGGAAGTTTTCAAAATTATGAGTGGATTCGATAGGATGAACAAGGAGAATTTTTTGCACTGGCGGGTGTGGCGGTAACCCAAGGATACTGATTTAAAATAGTTGTTAAAAGAAACCGAGGGCAGGCGAGGAAATTTTTTTAAGAGAGAAGTAAATAATTATTTGGGGAGGACAAGATTGCAGGGCTATGGGGAGAGAGTGGGCGAGTGGGATTGAATTGGGTAGCTCTTTTCAAAGAGCCTGTACACACACGATGGGCCGAATGGCCTCCTTCTGTGCTGTATAATTCTATGAACTGGTCGCAGGAGCTCAGTTTAGCCTGGGCATTGCGCAAACAGGCGGCAGTAGTGTGACACAGCTGGTATTTGTATCGTGGGCCACTCGTGAGTGGGCGAAGCCGATTTCCCCACAATTCCAGCGCCACACCCGCGCATCCGGATATACTCCGCCCACAGTAGTAGCATCGAGCAAACAGCACAGAGGGGCCCGAGCTTAGCACACTGTGTACAGGTTTGTAGTGGAGGGAGCGTTTGTAATTGAGGAGAGCATTTGTAGTGGCTTCTGCAGAAAAAGTGTGGCCACACATTTTTATTGGTCCCAGTGATCACTCGTGCTCTGTTACTGGCTTGCCAAGTGGTGGTGTTGCACTAGTGCTCTCCACCACACTCGACGCCTTGTCCCCCTCACCTCCCGAACTGCCTCCTATTCCCGATCCTCACCCTGGTTCATCAGCCATCTCCGCTTGCTTAAGGGCCAGGCTGCCGAACCCACTTGGTTCAAATCCAGCCTAACGGTCCACCGCCACATCTGGCTGGACCTCATCAAGAACTACCTCTCTGCTCTCGCCTCAGCCAAATCATCCTTCTATTCCAGGTTAATCCTGGAGGCGAAAGGCAATCCCAGGCTCCTGTTCTCCACCAATAACCGGCTCCTCCGCCCTCCCCGACACGCCACGCAGATACTTTCCTCTGACTCTCACTGCGAGAAAAAGCTGGACTTACTTGAGTCCAGAATCGAGGGAATCCGCTCAGCTGCCACTGCCCTCCAACTTCCAACCTCTCCCTATCACCCCTTCCTATCCATGGTCCTTGAGAGAGCCGTTGCCTCCCAGTTTCGCTCTTTCCTCTCCTCTCATTCCCTCCATGAACCCCTCCAATCGGGTTTCCGTGCTGCCCACAGCACAGAAACTGCTCTGGTCAAGGTCACAAATGACATCCTGACCATGTGTGACCAGGGCTCCCTCTGCCTCCTCGTCCTCCTCGACCTCTCCGCCACCTTTGACACCGTGGACCACTCAATCCTCCTCCACCGCCTCTTCTCCCACCTCAACCTTCAAGGTTCTGTCCTTGACTGGTTCAGGTCCTACCTTTCACACCGCCTCCATTTCGTCGCGGCAAACGGCTTCTCCTCCAGTCCCCGCACCGTCTCGTGCGGTATTCCTCAGGGCTCTGTCCTCGGTCCCCTCCTCTTCACCCTCTACATGCTCCCCCTTTGGTGACGTCATACGCAGACATGGGGTAAATTTCCACATGTATGCGGATGACACCCAACTCTACCTCTCTGCCTCTACCCTGAACTCCAGGACTACTGGTGTCCTGATCAACTGCCTGTCCGAAATCAAGTCCTGGACGAGGGCCAACTTTCTCCAACTCAACGTCAGCAAGATCGAGGCCCTCCTGATTGGCTCGGGCTAGCGCCTCCGCACCTCAGGCACGAACAGCTTCAGCCTCCACGGCTGCACACTCAACTTCACTAAGCCAGTCTGGAACCTGGGTATCTTGTTTGACCCTGAACTGTCCTTTCTCCCCCACATCCACACCATGACCGGCACTGCCTACCACCACCTTCGCAATATTGCCAGACTCCACCACTGCCTCACCCCTCACCCATGCATTTGTCACATCAAGGCTCGATTACGGGAACTCCCTCCTCATCGGCCTTCCCAACTTTTCCCTTCACAAGCTGCAGATCATCCAAAACTCTGCAGCTCATGTACTCTCACGTACCAAGCTCCGTGACACCATCACTCCCACCCTCGCCCGAGTCCACTGGCTCCCCATCCCCCAGAGGATCGAGTTCAAGATCCTCATCCTCACCTACAAGGTCATTCACGGCCTCGCTCCCCCCTACCTCTCTGACCTACTATCCCCCTACCTACCTGCCCTCCGTTCCTCTGGCTCCGGTCTGTTCCACATCACCCGCCCCAACCGCCCTACCATCGGTGGCCGGGCCTTCAGCCTCTCAGCCCCGAGGCTCTGGAACTCCATCCCCCAGTGCCTTCGCCACTTCCTCCCTTTCCTCCTTCAGGGCCGGTTTCAAGACCTTTCTCTTTGACCTTCAGCTCCGCTCTCGACTCTCTACCCCCTCCTCGCCCCCTCCCTTCCCTCCCCTCACCCTGACCATTTCCCCACTGCTCGGGTCCTGACCCAACTGTACAGCTCCTTGGGACGTCCTCCCGACGTGAAAGGCGCTCTATAAATGGAATCTTGTTGTTGTTGTTGTCCTCACCTTAAGACCATCCATGGCCTTGCCCCCTCCTACCTCTCTGACCTGCTGACTCCCTACCAACCTGCCCGCTCCCTCCGCTCATCGGGCTCCGGCCTGCTCCATGTCTCCCACCCTACCATCGCTGCTTGGGCTTTCAGCCTCTCTGCCCCCACACTCTGGAACTCCACCCCACGGTCCTTCGCCTCGCTTCCTCCCTTGCCTCCTTCAAGGCCGGTCTCTTTGACTGTGCCTTTGGTCTCCCTCCCACCTCTGCCTTCCTTCCCCCCTACACCACCCCTCCCCCATGCTCGGGCCCTGACACTTGACTGTTCAGCGCTTTAGGACGTCCTCCTGACGTGAAAGGGGCTCTATAAATGTCATTTTGTTGTTGTTGTTGCTGGTGAAGTACCCCATCCCTGCACTGCACACACAGGGCTGTGAGAATGTGGGATACATTGGCCAGGAAGCCTCTGAATCAATCAGGATATTTAACAAGGAAATTGATAGATAGTTTGGAAGTAAATGGATTAAGCACTTCGAGGAAAATACAAAGAAAAAGAATATGCCAAGATTTCATACTGGCTCGGTGGGTTGAATGCCTCCTGTGTTCCTAATACTAGCCGCGTGATGGTCTCCTGATTGTGCCGAACACTGTTGTTTAGAGACGTGTATCAGAATCTCATTCTGGCCACTAGAACTCTGTCTCAATGGATGGTTGGGTATCCTACCCCATTACCGGGTTCAATTCCCGGGCAGAACAAAACCGTAGGCAAGTTTCCTTATTCCACACACACTTCTCTGTTTATCTAGAAGTAGGTAGGAGCGAAGGTGCGGTCGAAGAGGAGAGTCTTGGGATGGACCTTGAAGGAGGCAAGAGAGGGAGCGAGGCAAAGGGACTGTGGGATGGAGGCAGAGGGGCTGAAGGCGGGGCAGGCGGAGGACGTGGAGCAGGTCGATATGGAGTTAGCAAGTGACAGAGGGAGGAAGGAGCAAGGCCGTGGAGGGCTTTGAAAGTGTTGTCTCAAAGCGCTCCACAGAATATACTGTAAAGTAAATTGACTGTGTATTTTGTGAGCGAAAAATTATAAATTTGGCTTGGCCAGGGCTGCCACAAGCTAAATAAAGAAATGAAATGTGTGGGAAATCTGCGGGCCGGTTGAAAGAGATCCAGGGGCCGAATCCGGCCCGCAGGCTGCACGTTTGACACCCCTATCTTAAAGCATGCCTTTGGTGGCTTCAATCTCCCACAGTTCAGCACTTGGAGGAGCTCTGGCATGTGAATGGCATTATACAATACAAGATAGTTTTGGTCAGATGATAGCAATAATCCGCGTATTTGATACAGCATCTTTCACGTTGGGAAGACGTCTCTAAGCGCTTCACAGGATTTATTGTAATGTATAGTGACTATGTGTTCTATAGGCAAACGTGGCAGATTATTTCTGCGCAGCAACATCCCGACAAACAGAAGGAATATATTTAGCCCATGGTATCTCCCCTGCATCCTGTTTCTCTAAGTCGCGTTATTATTAATTCCACTTTCCATATCTTTTCCCAGATTCCTTAATGATTTTACTGCTTCTCCTAGGCTTCAGATTTTATTTGGGGGATTGTTGGTCAGAATACTAGGAGAAACTCCCTTCTCTTTCCAATTGTGCCATAGGATCTATAACATTCACCTGAACAGGACCTCAGTTTAACATCCCAGCTGAAGTACAGCAGCTCCAACAGTGCAGCGCGCACCCTCAACACTGCATTGGAGTGTCTAACTGACTTCAAAGTCCCCATGGAGGGCTTGAACACATAAATGTCTGACTTGGTGGTGTGAGTGCTACCAATTGAGCCAGGCTGACAATACGAAACTGACACATGGAAACCCATTTCCATACTTGACTCTCGAAACCAAACTACTGATTCTTCCACGTATGCTGCCACCTACACTTGGAAACTTCCCTGTCTGGCAGGGAAGGCAGCTCTCTCCCCAGAGGACCCCCTGATTACCTAATTCCTTATTATATCATTATAATTCTAAACTGCAAGGATTATTATTATTATTACTGTACAGAAACAGGCCGTTTGACCCACTTAACCTTCACAAACTGCTTGTGTTTGCAGGAAGAAGAGTAAATCGCACCGTGATATCAAACGCATGCAGTGCGAGTGCATGCTTTCCAAGGAGGATCGAGAGCGCGGGGTGCTTGCGTGCGGGGAGGACTGTCTGAACAGGTTGCTCATGATCGAGTGGTAAGTGTGGCTTGTCCGTCCCAGAGCACAGCCTGCCAGCTACACACACAACAACCTCTTCTTGTCCCTCGCTGAGCCTCTGTCCCAGTGACTGTGACGAGGGCCACATGCCGCTGAGAGGAGCAGTGTTTGAGAAATCCAGGACCTTCCTGGCTGGAACATGCTTCTACCTGTGGCCTGTTGGGTACTGAGCCAGGATGGACTTTTTTCATGCTGTTACTAAAGTATTTGTTCTAAACAGACTCTTGTCCATTGTATTTGTTCACCTTGATAAGAAGTGATCTTCGGCAGGCTTTTATGTTTGGGGGGAGCTTTGCACAGTCTAAAGGCCTCCTGCCTGCCAGTGCCATGAATCATGGGCTAAAGTTGGCAGCCACAATCTGATCTGACTGCTAGGTGCTTTGTGAGCTTACCCAAGGGCTTGCGCCCGAGCTGGGGATTGGAATGAGGAGGGGTGGAGGGCAGAGAGGGTGAGCGAAGGCTCGGTCGAAGGGGAAGGACTTGAGACCTTACCTGGTGGACCTGGGTGACAAAGGTCAATATGTCAGTCTGAGAGGAAGGGGTCTTTTATAGTAACTCTGGCCCTTTGCTATTGCCTCTCTCAGCTCCTCCAGGTGTCTGCACGGAGAGTTCTGCACAAACCGCCGGTTCCAGAGGCGGCAGTATGCCGACGTGGAAGTCATTCTAACTGAGAGGAAGGGCTGGGGCCTGCGAGCAGCCAAAGAGCTGCCAGTGTAAGTCATACTTAACATTGAGAAGCCTTTCAATCAATCAACATCCTATTTTCACTTGTCTTTTTATTTATTCAATAATAATAATAATAATTTGGTCTCTCATCCACGACTGTTTGTGGGACACTGCTGTGCGCAATTGGCTGCCGTGTTTCGTCCACAAAATATACAATGAATTCACTTCACAATATATTCTGTGAAGCACTTTGAGACGTCTCGAAGATTCATAGATTTGTAGAATGTTACGGCACAGAGGGAGGCCATTCGGCCCATCGAGTCTGTGCGGCTCTTTGACAGAGCGTCACTTTCATTAACCCCAATCACCAGCTTTCTCCCCATAACCCTGCAAACCCGTCTTCCCCAGATACCTATCCAGTTCTCTCTTAAATATATCAAGTGCAAGGATTATTATTGTTGTATAAATGTATATTCTCTCTAAATTACATCTCGGTATAATTCACTAACCGAGGAGGAGGTGCGGCCAGTGGCCGCTATCTCTGTGACTGGTCAGGAACAGCAGTCACCTCAGCTGTGCTTGTGTTCATTGTCCTGCAACCTCCTCCTAAGGTGCAGAGGGAAACACTCTTAATTTTATTATTAATAATAATCTTTATTATTATAAGGATATAATAATGCTTGGTAGCCGGGTTTTCAGCCTCTCTGATACCAAACTTTGGACCTCTCTGACCTGCTGGCTCCCTACCAACCTGTCCGCTCATCGGGCTCCGGCCTGCTCCATGTCTCCCACCCTACCATTGGTGGTCGGGCTTTCAGCCTTTCTGCCCCCACACTCTGGAACACCATCCCACGGTCCCTTCGCCTCGCTTCCTCCCTTGCCTCCTTCAAGGCCGGTCTCAAGACCCTTCTCTTCGACCGTACCTTTGGTCTCCCTCCCACTTCTCTGCCTTCACTCACCCCTAACCTACCCCTCCCCCATGCTCGGGCCCTGACACCTGATTGTACAGCACTTTGGGACGTCCTCCCGACGTGAAAAGCGCTCTATAAATGTAATTTTGTTGTTGTCGTTTTGTTGTTGTTGTTGTTAGGAGGAGGCCATTCAGCCTATTGTGCCTGTCATACACTTTACAAGATGGTGGCCGATCGACAATTCATTTCCACCTCCCCGCCCTCTCTCCATATCCCCTGATACCCCTGTCTACCTTCCATCAAGCATTTATCTGTTTGTCATTTACATTTTTCTGCTGTCTCTGTCTGCACAGCCCTCTGGGGGAGTGTGTTCCACACTCCCACTACCCACAACGTGAAAAAATGTTTCACTTCTAAACGGTTTAGCCTCAGGTTTAAGACTACGACCTCCAGTCCTCAATTCTTCCGCCAGAGGAAGCAGTTGCTCACTATTCAGCCTGTCAAATCCCTTTATAATTCAATGTGCGTCAATCAGAACACCCCTCAACTTCCTGAATTCACCCACAAAATTCAGTCAATCCACTTTACAGTATATTCTGAGAAGCACTTTGAGACGTCTCAACGACGTGATAAGGCGCTGTATCAAATGCAAAGATCATTATTATTGATCTATTTCATGTCATTAATCTATACACTCTGTCTCAACTATAGTTTGTGTGAAGTGCCGTATTCTCACCAGCTGCTTTGTAAATATATTTTCTAACCTCACCTTTATGAATGATTTTTGTGATTCTTAAGTTTGTGAGAAGGAAGGTGTGATGAGGAGAGCCGTCTCTCTGCTCTGTTACAGGAATTGCTTTGTGCTGGAGTACTGTGGCGAGGTGCTGGATCACAGGGAGTTCAAAGCCAGAGTGAAGGAGTACGCTCGCAACAAGAACATTCACTATTACTTCATGGCACTGAAGAACGACGAGGTGAGTGAGCAAGCCAGTCACCATTCAGTGCTGCAGAGTCAACTGGTGCATTGACACTGTCTCCCAGTGTGACACAAGCTGGTAGGATGTGTATTAGGTCCACCATTACAGAGACTAGAGGATCTAAAAGAGAATTTAGGAGGACCTCATGCAGAGGGGAGTGAGATTGTGGAACTCGCTGACAGAAACTGGTCGAATCAGAGAGGTAGATGCGTTCAAGAGGAAGCAAGACCTGCACATGAGCGAGAGGTAAATAGAGGTTTTGGGAGGGAGGGAGGGAGGGAGGGAGGAGTAGGGGAGGACTTGTATGGAGTATAAACACTGGCAGTGGCTGGGCTGATTGGCCTGTTTCTCTGCTCTACTCAAGTGTTCTGAGATGCCACCCCACGTGAAGTGTGCAAGTTGTGCATTCTAGTGGTGGAGGCAGGCAATATTGCAGAGGTGGAAGAAGGCTGAGCGTGTCAGAGCCCAGATGTGGGGTAGAAAGGACAGTTGAGAGTCGAACAAGATCCCAAGGTTCCAGACTGGCCACATTGGGTCCCTGACCAGGACCGCCTTCCTCCACCTCCACATTGCCCGACCGTACCTTACCCTAGATGTAGCCGAAACACTCGTTCATGTGTTTGTCACCTTCCGACTCAACTTTTCAAATGCACTCTTTGCCAGTCCCCCCCAGCTCCACCATGCACAGGATCCAGCTGATCCAAAACTCTGCCCAGATACTCACCCGTACTAAACTCCGTATCCCAACACACCAGTTCTAGTCGGGCTCCACTGTCCCCCTATCACCAAACGGATCGATTTCAAGATCCACACATTCGTTTCCAAATCCCTTCATGCCCTGGCACCTCCATACCTCTCCGACCTGCTTACCCCACAAACCACTGCCTCCGCTCGACTGGCTCCGGCCTTCTGCGTGCCCTCCGTTCCACCATTGGTGGCCATTTTGATTACTACGGCCCGAAACTCTGGAACACTCTCCCTCTAGCCCTCTGCCTTTCCCCATCTTCAGGTCGCGCCTGAAGACCTTCCTATTCGACTGTGCCTTCAGTTATCTCACCCTCCCCCCAGCTTAGCGTTATGCTCCGCCACTGTCAAGCGCTCTGGGGCTCCACCAGCTCCACCATTATAAATGCAAGTTTTATTAAAACATATTTTTGTCTTTTCCCAGATCATTGATGCCACTTTGAAAGGAAACTGTTCGCGTTTCATGAACCACAGCTGTGAACCGAACTGTGAGACTCAGAAGGTGAGAACAACCAGAGAATGCAGTGAACCAGCTTCCCATCATAGTCATAATACGACTAATGGCTCCAAATTCAGTACTCCGGCTTGCTTCTGAACAATCTATTGCCAGTTATTAGCAATCTGACATTTGGTATAACCCTTTCACATCGGAAGGGTGTCCCAGTTAACCATATTGTTATGAAGCAATACCGCACATAGCCACAGAAAACTTCCAAGTGACCCACTGGAGCTCTCCACTTTAATCTCATTCCCGTCTCTCCCCCCATCATGTCTGCTGGTGCTCGTTCCGCCGCTGGAGCTCTCTACTCTAATCCCATTCCCTGCTCTCTCTCCATCGTTTCTGTGCTGGTGCTCGCTACCCCACTGGAGCTCTCTAATCCCATTCCCTGCTCTCTCCCCATTGTGTCTGAGCTGGTGCTCGCTCCCCACTGGAGCTCTCCCAGTGTCCTAGCTGACAATTCACCAAATAAAAGCTTGCTAGAGAGCGATATCAATGGCAAGCTATGCGGTTTTAGCTGGTTAGACTCCAGCAGTGGGGTCTCCAAGCCTTGGCTCTTGCCAACCTGAGCCGAACACTTTCCTGGATTAGGTAAATGATGTATCCCTCCAGGGAGAGAATGCGCATTCCATTCCAACGATGTATCTCTGGGGTGTGTCGGTGAGATGCACGGAAATCTCAGTTTAGTTTGGAGACTCTTAAGCACGGTGATGGGTTTCCGCGTGTGTCAGACACCCAGCTGACCAAAACAAATTTATGGTTTTACTGCTTACATGCTTCTCCAGTTCCTCTGGGCCTGATCCCAACTGCTGATACATTGTGTAGCTAGTGAGAAAGTCAATCCATTTCACAGTGGTTTCTGTGAAGCGCTTTGAGATGTCCTTCCGACGTGATAAGGGGCTATACCAAATGCCAGGATTATTATTATAATGATGATTTGGGAGCTGTGTGTGGCCTGTGTTGAGCTGCTTCTCTGCTCTCCTCCTCAGTGGACGGTGAATGGGCAGCTGAGAGTGGGCTTTTTCACCACCAAGGCCGTGCCACCTGGCACAGAGCTGACCTTCGACTATCAGTTTCAGAGATACGGGTAAGGCTGAGTGTGTGTGTGTGTGGGATTCTGCCCCTGGAGAGCTCCGAAACATGAAAGGCACGATCTAATGTACAAATATAAAGTATCTTCTCCACATCACACCCAGAACAACACTCTGTACAGACTACTGAACAAAGATCACTCCCAACACAGTGACCTCTCCACTCCCCAATACAGTGACCTCTCCACTCCCCAATAGTGACCTCTCCACTCCCCAATACAGTGACCTCTCCACTCCCCAATACAGTGACCTCTCCACTCCCCAACACAGTGACCTCTCTACCCCCAACACAGTGACCTCTCCATCCCCAACAGAGTAACCTCTCCAGCCCCCCAACACAGTAGCCTCTCCACCCCCAACACAGAGACCTCCACACATCGCCACATATTTATATATAAAATACACTGTGACAGTCTCCACCATCATACATAGAGGAGAAAGGCGGTTTTGTGGGGTTTGATGCCATCTCTCTTGTGTCTGACTGCAGGAAGGAGGCACAGAAATGTTTCTGTGGATCAGCAAACTGCCGGGGCTTCCTCGGGGGTGAAAACCGGGTCAGCATTCGGGCCGCAGGAGGCAAGGTCAAGCTGAAAGATAAAGAACGGTCCCGCAAGAAAGATTCTGTGAGTACAGTTCAGTGGTCCACACTTCATCTCAAACACTGTACACAAAAACCTGTCACACCTAGGTATAGTGACCTGTTATGTAGTGATTTGCAACATAGAATCTTCACCACCAATATCCCACACACTATTGAGATTGATGTTTGTTGGTAAGTGTGTATGTGGGGAATCTAGAAGGCAGGAGACATCAGTCTCTTTCACACGATAGGATGTTTGAAGAGGTGATGTCTCAAATTGGCGAGCTTCACTTGTGCTGTTGTGTGGGCAGGTGGACGAGGAGCTGGAGGCCCTGCTGGAGAACGGGAAGGGCCTGTCCGATCCCAACCAGGTGCTCAGCCTGACCAGGCTGATGGTGCGGATAGAGACCATGGAACAGAAGCTGACCTGCCTCCAGATCATACAGGTAACAGGAGCCACATTGTGCATTGCGTGTTCATGCCTTTCACAGGGTAATGTCCACCTTGCGTCCCTCCACTCGCGCCTCGCTCCCCTTCCCTTCACAGCCCACCCTCGGACTGACCACACGCCCCTCACAGGGTTAGGGAGGGGTGGTGTAGTCACCGCAGGGCGTGGGAGGTGACTAAAGTTGAGTTTTTTTGAGGATATTGAAAGCAGCGAGCAAGAGCCGCCGAGGGATTCTGGGAAAGTAAGATGCTTGTTCCTCACTCCCCTGCCTGAATTGACGAGGGGTGGGGGGGGTTGGGAGGGGGCGGTCTCCAACAATTACTGAGGGGCGAACAAGGCCACTCTGTGACAGCTAAACTCCACAGGGACAGGCAGCACAGTGAGCCTGCCACTCCCCACCTCACCAAAACTCTTTCCCTGCCTATTCCCCACACCCTTCAATCCCTTTTATATCCTGTCTCCAACTCTCCATCTCCTCCATCTCAACATGCTGATTGATTGTGGAGTGCGGTAGCATATTGGTTAGAGTAACTCGCCTTGCAAGTGAGAGGACATGTGTTCTCTTCCCGGGCAGGGGGATATGTTGGGCAAGTTTCCTTACTCCACACAATAATAATATGGTCACTCAATCCGTGCATGTCTGTGGGACGCTGCTGTGCATAATTGGCTGCCGCGTTTCACTCACACAATATACAGTCAATTCACTTTGCAGTATATTCTCTGAAGCACTTTTAAGACGTCTCGAAGACATGATAAGGCGCTACATCAAATGCAAGGATTATTATTATTACATGTGCAGTCTCCTGGCTCAGTGGGTGCCAGGTTCTCCCCACCCTGTAAGTGCAGGCCGTGCTCTCGGCACTGCCTCACCTCTGCTAACATTATTAAGCAGGAGCCTTGCTCTCGAGACGATGTTTACAATGGGAGTTTGCTTTCTCCCCTTTCAGGACACGCATTCTCAGGCTTGCCTCAAGTCCTTCCTGGAGTACCATGGGCTGTCCCTCCTGTGGATCTGGATGACTGAGCTCGGAGATGGCCGGGGAAACTCGAGCAACAATATCAAACTGCAGACGCAGGTAAGGGGTGGTGTTGAATGCCGGGGGCGAGGAAGGGGGATATAATGCTGTCTATGGACTGAGCAGCCATTGTGCTGTTGCAGTACTTGTCTCCAGACACCAAGGGGAGCCCTGTACTATGCTGAGTACACACAGGGTCTTGGCTCAGACCAATGACCTGCGGCAAGTCCGCACTCTTTAAAGGGGAGTCTTGTGTTGGTCGGAACTGTACGTTCAGTGGCTCTAAACCGAAACTCTTGAGGTTAAGCCACATCCTGCATGTGAAATAAACCGGTTGCAGTTAATAACACAACAGCTCGCAGTTAAGCGCCACTCACACAGGGCAGCATCCCAGAGAGCTTGACAGTGACGGAGCCTGACACCGAGCCAGGGGGAGGGGACCGTAAGCACGCTCGAAAAGCAAACTGGTGAGGGCACAAACCCACGCTTAGCGGGTGTCAAATGACAAATGGCTCACGTTCTCACTATTGCTCACATTCACTCACTCGCTCATCTATGTTCACACTTGATCTCATTCGTCCTCACTCTCTCAAATTTTCTCTCGTGTTCTCTCACACTCAAAATAATAAGAAATTGGTCGCTTCAATCCACGGTGGTTTGTGGGACACTGCTTTGCACAATTGGCTGCCACGTTTAACCCACAAACAATACAGTCAATTCACTTTACAGATTATTCTGTGAAGCGGTTTGAGGGTCTCAATGACATGATATCAAATGCAAGGATTATTAATTGGATGTGGTGAGTGGCGTATCCCTGAGGAAGAAATGGCTCCTAGTCCCTTGCTCATGCTGCTCTCTCCTTGTTTTGATGCCAGTCGTTAATTGCAGCTTCTCTCCACAGATGATGAAGACGCTGGAGATCTTGCCCATCTCCACCAAGAACATGCTGGAGGAGAGCAAGCTGCTGCCTATCGTCCAACGCTGGGCCCAGCCCAAGGCCTCCGCCCCGCAGCCCAGCGAGGCCGACGGATACTCCAGCGAGAACACGTCGCGGGCACAGACCCCCCTGAACACACAGGAGGCCGGGCCGAAGCCTGGGGCTGAGCCTGAGGGAGACACCCCGAGGAAGCTGGTGATGCGCAGGCTGAAGATCATCAGTGAGAACAGCATGGACAGTGCCCTGTCTGACACTAGCAAGGCCTCGGATGGGGAAATCGAGGCCAAGGAGGGGAAGGAGGACACGGAGCCCTCACAAGGTCCGGCTCCCACTGAGGATGAGCAGCCAATAGCACTGGGGGCTGGGGAAGGTCAGGCTGAGCTGGGGGCCGGGGAGGGCAATACTGGGGAGAGGGCTATGGAGGGGACCGGGGGATCCCAGGCTGTGGAAGGGGCTGCAGAGGGCCAGGCTGGGGAGGTGGTTGAGGGAGCCCAGACTGGAGAAGGGGTTGGAGAGGCCAAGGCAGGGCCGGGAGCTGGAGAGACCAAGGTGGGGTTGGGGGCTGGGGGCAGCCAAGCAGAGCTGGGGGCCAGTGGGAGCCAGCCGGACAGCCGTGAAGCTCTTGAGCAGGAGAGTCTCCCAAAGACCAGCAATGGCCCCAAGTTGGAGGAGTCGGTGCTGACGGGAACGCCATCTCAGGACGAGGAGGAGGGATTGTCGGACGCGGAGAGTGAGCGCAGCCACGAGCAGCACTGCAAAATGGAGGACGTGAGCGACCTGGCCACAAAGCTGCTGGAGAACTGGAAAGACTTGAAGGTGTGGATTTGTCCTCAGAGAGTCGGGAGCTTTTCTCTTCCCAGTTTGTACCCTTTCCCCCAGCACTCTCGCTCGCTGAACTCACCATTGTTCACGTGCAAGTGACAGTGAGTGTGAGCTCTGTGTTCAAACCTGAGGCCAACAGAGCACAGCCTGAACCAGACCTCAACCAAGGTCACCTCATAGCAGTGAAGCTCACTGGGCAGCGATCAGGAGCCCCTCACACACTCCTCCCTGCTGAATATTAACCCCCCCCCCCCCCTCCCCGCTCAGACAGCCGGCCAGACACTCACTGGGTGAGGGACTCCTGGTGCAGGGAGCCCCCACAAAACTGCAGGAGAGAGGAGAAAATTGGGAGAAAATACAGTTTGTAATTTCTCTATGTTTAGGATTCTGCAACCACTCACTCTGGATGTCTCTGTGCGTCTGTCTCTTTCTAAGCATGTGTGCCTCTCAGTGTATGTTTGTATCTGTGTGTCTCTGCGCGTGTGTTTGTCTGTGTTACTCTGCGGGTGTGTTTGTCTCTCTCTACGTCTGTATCTCTCTCACGATTCTGTGTGTGCACGTGTGTGTCTGTGTCCATGGTGCATGTCTGTCTGTGTGTGGGTGTGTGCACATGTGTGTGAGTCGCTGTGTGCATATGCGTGTGTGAGTCTGTGTGCACCTGTGGGATTGAGTGTGTGCATGTGTGTGTGAGTTTCTGTGTGTGAGTCTGTGTGTATGTGTGAGTCTGTGTGGGCACGTGTGTTGCTGATGGTAGCGGGGCGGGTTTCACAGCTGAGCAGGGCTGGAATGTAATGACGTTTCTGGTGTCCACAGGAAGTTTACCGGATCCCGAAGAAAGACCGGAGCCAAGCGGAGCGCGACAGTACTGGTACGTTCTTACACCAGGAGGCCATTCAGCCCACCCAGCCTGTTCACCAGTTTATTAGATTAGATATTGTCTGGTCTGCTAACCCCAATGTTCTGTTGCCAAGCCTCTTTCTACCCTGTTTCTGAAACCTGATGGTATTATTTAAAATATAAAGGTGGTGGTGATTGGGGAGGGAGCTGGGTGAGTGGGGGGGGTTGCTGGGTGAGGAGGGGGGCTGGGTGAAACTGTGGTGGCTGGGTGAGGAGAGAGCTGGGTGAGCCGCGGGGACTGGGGCTGGGTGTGCTGGGTGAGTGGAGCTTCCCCTGGCTGCTACCATTGCTCAGTGTGTGACAGCCGTGCTGCTTTTTAAAATACAAGGCTGTGTTGAGGCTGTGAGTGTTTGTGTGGGGCTGTGAGGGTGGCGTTGTGCTCTGGGTACTTGATGTTCTCTATGTTGCAGAGCGTGGGCGAGACGGTTCCTCACAGAAGGACCTTTCTCAGACACCGAAGACTCCATCGAGCTCGAGCAAAGAGAAGGACACAGACAAGCCTGCACTCAGTAAGGATAGGAAGAAACGCAAGCAGACGGCATCCCCTCCCCCCTCCGCGTACGAGAGGGAGGGACTCAAGAGACTGTCGGCCGACGAGAGGCAAGTGCTGGGCAGGTGGGGAGCTGTGACTGAGAAGGCAGAGGAGGGGGAAAGAGGGGCAGTTTCAAGAGGCGTTTTGGTAAAGCTTTTAACTTTGAAGAAGCTTGTGGGGGAGATAATATGAGGTGGGACTTGGAGTTGTCAGTCTGACTGAGTTGCACTTTCTCTGTTTCTCACGGCTCACCAGCAAGACCTGGGTGGGCAGACCAGTCACTGGGGACAGGGAATCCTCCCACTCAGCTCCTGTTAACTCTGCAAGCCAAAGCCCTAATGGGCAGGGTCTTCCTAGCTAGACAGCGCTCTCAATGGAAAGCTATGTGGTTTTAGCTGGTTTTACTCCAGCAGTTATCCCAAGCAGTTGCACTCTCTCTCTGGGTGAGAAGGTTATGGGTTCAAGCCCCATGTCAGGACTTAGGATTCAGTCTGGTTCCCTGACTGACACTCTGATGGGGTGTTGGGAAGAGCGCTGCATTGTCGGAGATACCATCCTTTGGATGAGACATTAAACCAAGGTCCAGGTGGCTGTTCTGGTGGATGTTAAGGATCCCGTGATACTATTGGTAAAGAGGAGTTTCTCGCTTGCTGTGTCCTAGCCAACAATCCCCCAAATAAAATCAGTCACTATCTGTGCGACTTGGCTGTACGCAATTTGGCTGCCTACAGCTACACCTACAGAAACACAGTCACTACACTTGACAGTAAAATCCCAAGACGTTTTAACAAGTTAAGATGTTACAACAAATACTAGGATGATTTCTTTATTTGGTGAGGTCCTGGATAGCAGTGAGGAGCAGGGCCCTGGGCATTATCCCCTCTCTCACTGGGGCGCTGGAGGCCAGTGTAGCCTTCTTGTTGCGGCCGAGATCAGTTCACGCAGAGCACGGCCTGAACCTGGGCCTTGGCCATAGGAACCACCTTTGTGTCTTTTATTCCACAAACACAAGAGCAGGATGAGGCTTGGCCTTTAAGTCCATCAAGCCTGTCTCATCTTTTTAGTAGATCACAGTTATTCGTTGAAGCTCATTTCCCGACTTCTCCTTGCCCTCGAACGCCCTTACTTCCATTGCAATTCTCTCAAAGTGCTTTGCACAGCGGGTTAGGTTGATATGGAATGACATGTTAAGTCGGGAAAACAAACAAAAACCCTTTGAACCTGCTATGTTCTCCCCTTCTGCTGTGAAAGTGGGTTAGATGCCAACAAATACAGCAGTGACAGCAGCCTAGCCTGGGATATAATAATAATAATCCTTGCCTTTGATATAGCACCTTATCATGTCATTGAGACGTCTCAAAGCGCTTCACAGAATATACTGTAAAGTTGATTGGCTGTATATTGTGGGCGAACCGCGGCAGCCAATTGCACACAACAGTGTCCCACAAACAGTTATGGATTGAGTGGATGGGGGAGGATTAATACCCCAGAAAAGCAATCCGCCAATCGACTAACAACTAGGTTCCAACTTATTGCTGGGTAAACCAAGGCGTGTGGAGAAGGAAATTTGCCTAAGGTTTCGCCCTGCTCCCGGGTCCTCTTGCATTAGAGGCGAGCGCACTAACTACTCCGCTAATCGTGTTTTGTTTCCTCCTGAAGGTATGACACGACCACACCATCCAAGAAGAAGAAAACCCGGAGCAAGCTCACCACGGAGGAGCGACGCAAGCTGTTTGAGCAGGAGGTGGCCCAGAGGGAAGCCCAGAAACATGGGCTGTACATCCAACAGCAGCCCATGTGCGGGAGCTCACAGGTGCCTTATGACACTGCAGCCTACACCAACTCTCACCTGAACTTTGTCAGCTATCCGCCGGGATACCCTTTACAAGCCTACGTGGACCCCGTGAACCCCAATGCGGGCAAAGTGCTTCTGCCCACCCCCAACGTGGAGCTGGTGTGCCAGGCACTCAGCTATGATCAACAGCTGCTGGCGGAACCCATGCCCGCGGGGCAGCACGCTGTGCCCACTGTACAGCATCTCTCACCTCAGGTGGACATTCAGACACAGCAGTACCTCACCCCGGCCCCCAGCGTCCTTCCCCAGGACCCCAGCCTGGCCGTGCTGCAGGTCACAGCAACTCAAGCCCCGGCACAGAACTATACCCTGTGGGACCCCAACCAGCAGGCACTAGCCGTGCACCAGCAGTACTCCAGCGGCCAGCCACAAGCATCCATCTATTACCAGGGGCAGCCTTGTCAGCCCGTCTACAGCATATCCTCATCGTACGGCCAGACCTCTCAGCCCATCGTCCAGGTACACTCCATTGTTCTCTGTCCTTCCCTGTTCCCCTGCTTTACAGTGCGGAGAAGAGGATCTTTTTTATTCCTGCATAGAACACAACAATAATAATAAACAGACGTATAGAAATCTACAGTACAGAAGGAGGCCATTTGCCCATTGAATCTATACTGTCTCTGAGCGAGTTAGCCTTTCAAAAATTGGACAGATACTTAAAAAGGAAAAATGTGCAGGGCTCTGGGGTAAGAGCAGGGGAGTGGGGCTAGTTGGTAGCTCTTTCAAAGAGTCGGCACAGGCACGATGTGCCGAATGGCCTCCTTTGTGCTGTAAGATTCTAATGACAGAACACAAAAGAAGACCATTTGTGTCTTTGTGTCTGTGCTGCTGATTTCAGATCCTTTCAGACCTGTTTACCAGCCTTCCCCCACACCCCTGGACCTTATCTTCTTAGTCTTACTTCCCTCTTGAAAGCCACAATGGACTCTTACCTCCAATACCTTGCTAGGCAGGGCGTTCCAAGTTCGCACAACTCTATACGAAAAAAGTTCTTCTCTCCTTTTTGTCTTTTACCTATGGCCTCCAGTCACTGACTCCGCGACCAGTGGAATAGCTTCTCCCCATTCACCCTGTCAACCCCTTATCATGATGTCCACTTCTATCTGGGCCCCTCTGCTCCAATGTAAACAAACCCAATGTCGTCAATCTCTCCTATTCACTAAAGCCCCTCACCCCTGCCATCATCCTCATAAGCCGCTTCTGTTCTCCCTCCCACCTCCTCCCAGTCTGAACATCCTCCCTCAAGTGAGAGCACAGAACCTGGATTGCAGCCTGACCAATGTACAAGACTTTACCTAGGCTTCAGTTGGAATATTGTGTGCAATTTGGGGTTAGGAAGGATATAACAGCAATGGGTAAAGTGCAGCGTAGATCTACCAGGGAGGCTGAGTTATTCTTCACTGGAGTTGTGAAAGTTGAGCAGTGACCTGATCGAGGTCGTCTGGTCCGAAGACGATAAAAGAGGATATGTCTGGGGGACAAGCAGAGAGTGGGGGTAACGAGGGGAAAGTGGGGTTAGACTGGGGAGCAAGGAGAGAATGGGGTTAGACTCGGGCGGGGGAGTGATGGGAGAATGGAGTTAGACTGGGGGCAGAGTGGGGGGAGTGATGGGAGAGTGGGGTTAGACTGACGACAGTGAGGGGAGAATGGGGTTAGACTTGGGAGAGTGAGAGAAGATTGTGGTTCGACTGGGGGAGCGATGGGAGAGTGGGGTTAGAGTGGAGGGAGGTTTGTATTTACTTGAGTTGCGAGGTGACTGAAAGCCATGACTAGTGGGTGGAGAGGGGATTGGTGGAAGAGGGTAAAGGGCTCTGACGTGATAGAGATAATTTATAACTAATAAAATATGTGTTTGACATGTCACGTGACTCCTGCCAGTGTAAGGCAGTTTCACACGATGGTCCAAGGCTGACAATGTTGACCACACAATCCTGGCACAAAGCACTGATCCAAAGTCATGACTTGTACTTATGTTGTGTGGGTGAGCAGTGAGTGCCCTCGAGGGACAGATTTCTCACCAGCTACACACACTGTCAGCAGCTGGGATCGAGCACAGAGGAACTGGAGAAGCACTTGAGCAGTAAAACCGTTAATGTTTGGCGTGTTAGCCGGTTGGTGATGCGGAAACCCATCACCGTGCTTAAGAGAATGCAAACCAATGTGAGAATTCGATGCATCCCACCTACACATAGAAATGGGAAGCAAATTGTTGGAATGGAATGCACATTCTCTCCCTGGAGGGACACACCCCGCTTACCTAATTCCATAAAGTATTAGGTGCAGGTTGGCAAGAGCCAAGGCTTAACCAGGTAAAACCTGCTGAGTCTTAACCAGGTAAAACTTGCTATCTGGCAAGCTTTCCCGCTAGGGCCACCCTCCCCATTAGTAACTGGTCTGCCTTCCAGGGCCTGCTGTGAGCCAGGCCGGGCTGTGCTGTCATCAGCAGTGAGTACCCTGGAATACTCCGTACCCACCTGGCTTAGGAACCGGACTAGAGACCATCTCAGAGGATGGGCTCAATTCTGTCATTCCGTTGCCAGGCATGTCACCTTGGAGCCAGTTCAGCTGCAAGGAGACCCCCACATACCTTACTACCCCCCCACCTCCCCCCCAGGGATGTGGAGAAAGCTTGGGAAAATGGATAATACAATAAGATACAGTGATAATATGGTGATAAGGGCTACATACATTCAATGGTCCGATTGGCCTCCTCCTATGACCATTTGTATCTCTGTAAAAGTGAGGGACTTGTTTGGTTCCATGTGAGTTGAGAGGTAATGTCTCTCTGTCTCTCTCTTCACTGACCACAGACTTACGCCCAGTCGAGTCCCGAGTACACACAGGGACAGCAGGCTTTCATTGTGCAGCCGTCAGCAGGAGTGCTCGTCACATCTCCAGCCCCGGCCTACCAGCCAACAGGGCAACCCCAGGCTGTCCAGCAGGTATGCCCCATGCCAGTTACTCCAATCGCCCACACATCAGTGGTTAGTGAACTCACCTCGCAAACAAGGCGCTCTGGGTTCGATTCCCTGGCAGGGCAAAATGTTCAGCAAGTTTCCTTACTCCACACACCTGTTTAACCAGCAGTAAGTAGGAACTCAGTGGTTAGTCAATTGGCGGATTTTTGAAGGGATTATTACCCCCTGAAAAAGTGATCCGCCAATAGACTAACAACCAGGTTCCTACTCACTGCTAGGTAGACAGAGGTATGTGGAGTAAGGAAATTTGTCCAGCGTGTCGCCCTGCCGGGAATCGAACCCGGGTCCACTTGCTTGCGAGGCGACGGCTCTAACCCCTGAGGTACAGAACTTCACAAGATAAGATCAGATCAGTTGGTCTCCTGTGAATTGTAAGAAAAGGTGTCAGTCTGGCTCGGTCAGTCACACTGTCACTTTTGAGATGGTTGTGGATTCAAGCCCCTCGTACTCACTTTGAACTCACAGTCACTCCACTGCAGTGCTGGGGTACAGTGATTTGTTAGAGATAAACCGAGGTCCTGGCTGCCTGTAAAGATGCTCTGACACGATTCAAAAGAGAAGTTTCTCTGCTGGTGTCCTGGCTGACAATTTCCTAAAGTACATCCCTAGCTCTCTTGTATCACAGCCCTCCAATTATCTGTGTGAAGGCTATGGAGACAGTGCCAGACTGGAGCTGCAGCATAAAATGGTTTTGTGCTTATTGAGGGCTGATGGTTTCAAGTGGCAGATTATTTCCGGGTTAAGTGTAAGTCAGGCTGGGATGTCCTCCTGGTGTGAAAGGCGCTATATAAATGTAATTTTGTTGTTGTTATTGGTACGAGGCTGGTGATTGGCGGGTTGGGTGCAGATCAGGCTGGTACATGGTTGATGATTGGTGGGTTGGGAGTAATTGAAAGTGGTCCCCTGTCTAGCAGGAGCTGATGGTTGTGAGCAGCCTTCTGGATTTGCCGCCTCCTTCACCCCCCAAAGCAAAGTCCATCGTCCTCCCCTCCAACTGGAAAACTGCTCGAGACCCCGAGGGAAAGATCTACTACTATCACGTTGTCACCAGGTTAGTGTTTAGGGGCGCAATCAGGGCGGGCGGGGGGTCTGGGTGTCACTGGGGGCGGTGGGGTGTGGGTCTGGGTGTCATAAGGGGTTTGGAGAGGGAGGAGGGAGTGTGGGTGACGAGGATGATGATAGCCTCATGATGATATTAGAGTAATTTTTGCACAGATTATTGGGATGTGGATTGTTCAGCCCAAACTACTGGCTAAAGCAGATGTTATTAAGCAATTATGTTAAAAGGGAACAGAGTACATGGTAGGGTGAGGGGTGGGTGGCGGCGGCTGGGATTGAGACTGACAGGAGGGGGCACGGGTGGAGAGCGGGTGCTGAACAGCCTCCTCATGTCTAACATTCTGGGATCTGGACTCTTTGGGTTACGGTTCACTCAGCAATGCCATTGGTTCCCTCAGACAAACACAGTGGGACCCCCCGCTGTGGGAAGGGGGCAACGACGACACAAGCATGGGCCACGAGGCGGAGATGGACCTGGGGACCCCCACTTACGACGAGAATCCAGCCAAGGTGCGTCTCCGCTTTCTCCTGCGGGAGTGAAGACACCGGTTAATGTCCACAGTAGTGTAGCACAAAACTCCGTACCCCACTCCGTCACCTCAGTCCTTGCCAGGCTCCACTGGCTTCCAATTGCCCAATGGATCAATTTCAAGATCTTCTCACTCATTTTCAAATCCCGTCATGCCCTGGCACCTCCCTACCCCCCACTCTACCACGCGGTGCATCCGCTCAGCTGGTTCCGTCCTCCTGTTTGTCCCTTGTCCACTCCACTCCACCATCAGTGGTCGTGCCACTAAGTCCCGAAATTTTGGAACTCTTTCGACCTTCCTTTTCGGTCGTGCTTACAGTTACCTCCCCCCTCCCTCTCCCCCTGGCAGAGTCAGACTCCACCACTGTCAAGGACTCCAGGGCACTACCACGTGTGAAGGCCACTACATAAATGCGAGTTGTTATATCTGGATGGTAATTACAAGGGGACACATGTCTTAAATCCTATAAGATCATGGTTGATTTGTACCTCAAGTCCAATTACCTGCCCTTGATACCCTGACCTAACAAACATCTATCCACCTCAGTCTTGAAAATATGAATGGATCCAGCACCCACAGCCGTTTGGGGGAGAGCGTTCCAGATTCCCACTAACCTTTGGGTGAAAAGTTGCCACTGATTTCACTCCTAAATGGCCCGGCTCTAATTTTAAGATGATATCCCTCGTTCTGGATTCCCCTCCAGAGGAAATAGTTTCTCTGTAGCTACGCTATCGAATCCCTTTATTATTTTAAACACCTCAATCAGATCAGCCCTCAACCTGCTAAGTCAAGGGAAAAGAGACCGAGTTTATGCAACCGGTCCTCATAATTTAACCCTTTTAGACCTGGTATCATTCTGGTGAATATTGCACTGCACTCCCTCCAGAGCCAATTTATCCTTCCTGAGGTGCAGTGACCAAAACGAACACATTTTCCAGATGGAGTCTACTAACCAAGGCTCTGTATAGTTGAAGGCACTATATTTCCTCTCCTTTATATTCCAGCCCCCTTGAGATAAAGGACAACATCCCATTCACCATCCATAATGGATGACCTCACACATTGAATTCCATCTGCCACAGTTTTGCCCACTCACTTAATCTATCAACTTCTCTTTGTAACTTCCTGCTCCCATCTACACAATTTACTGTGCCTCCTAACTTTGTGTCATCTGCAAATTTGGATATAAAACTCTATTCCTTCATCCAATTCATTTTTATATTATATATATATATAGTGAAAAGCTGAGGCCCTAGTACAGACCCCTGGGGAACACCACTTGTCACGTCCCGACAATCAGAGAACTTTATCCCTACTCTCTTGTTTCCTGCTTCCCAATCAATTACCAAGCTACGCCTCAAGGTTACCTCCGATTCCATGTGCTTTTACTTTTGCTAATAGCCTCTATTTTTGATAATAAAAGAGGGACGGCTCCCAGGGTGGGGTGCTGAGGAGAGGTAAGCGTGCTCTGTGAAGTTGAGCTGGCTCCAAGGTGACATTTGGCTACGGAATGTCAGAATCAAGTCTCTGTGGCGGTCTCTAGTTCCCGAGCCATGAAGGGCCACAGTATTCCGGGGCACCGCTGATGAGACATCACAGCCCAGCCTGGCAGGATTGGAAGGGCCGACCAGTCACTGGGGGCAGGGAATCCTCCCCCTCAGCTCCTGTTAATCCTGCAAACCAAAGCCCTAACAGGGAGGATGGTCCTAGCTGGACAAGCAGCGGGAAAGCTTGCCAGACAGCGCTCTCAATGGCAAGCTGTGCTGTTTAACAATGCATCAGTTTCTCTCTGTCCACCCCCACAAAACACACGCTGTGTCCCCAAACCTTGGCTACAGTCAATGTGTTGTTAATAAGTTTTGGAATGTGATGATGTGGATGCATCCCTCCGGGTGGGGGAGTCTGCACAACATTACAGATGTGGGGAAATTTCCAGACATCTGTGACACTGTCAGAAGTTCTGGTGTGGATACTGTGAAGCATAGTGATGTATATCCATTTCCACATGTGTCAGACAGGCAGAAAGCGGGTAACCAACAACAAAGGCAGTCAGGGCCGGGCCATCCGTTGAGCTCCTGGTCATTGCCCTGTGTCAATGACTGTGTCTCTACTGATGTCCCTCCAGCACCCTGGAGCTCAGTTCTCAGTCACTTGTCATCCTCATTTCCTTTAGAGAACAGCATGTTGTTTGGACAAACAATGCTGTTTGTGTGGAGTCCTGTAGCTCAGTGGTTAGAGCGCTCTTCCTGCGAGCGAGAGGACCTGAGTTCGATTCCCTGGCAGGGCGAAACGTTTCCTTACTCCACATGCCTATGTTCACCTAGCAGTAAGTAGGAAGCCGGTTGTTAGTCGATTGGTGGATTGCTTTTCCAGGGATAATAATTCCTTCAAAATAAATTTTAAAATGTAAAAATGTGGTCACTCAATCCATGACTGTTTGTGGGACGCTGCTGTGTGCAATTGGCTGCCGGGTTTCACCCACAAATAGATAGTCAACGCACTTTGCAGTGTATCCTGTGAAGCGCTTTGAGACGTCTCGAGGACGTGGTGAGGCGCTGTATCAGATGCCGGGATTATTATCATCAGTTTGTTTCTGCCCTGGTGTGCGGTGTGGCTCCCTCCTGGGGTATGTTGGAGCACTGCGGGCCCACGTTGCCACACTAATCTGCCGCCCAGACTGCTCACGCAGCAGTGCTGTGATGGCAGGGGCCTTGTCCTTTGTAGGGCTGTCTCCTGCTGCCTGTTGTCACTTGTCACTTGGCGCTGTAACCTGGACACTGCGCTGTATTAACCCTTTCCTGTTGAGACTTGCGGTGTCTCGGAGACACTGAGTGAGAGGGTTTCTCACTGAGCGTCTTTTCATGTGCAGGACCCGATGCTGGCTGATCTACACGGACTAGATGGCAGCGCGGACGGTACACCCAATGCTTACAGCCTGGTATGTGTTCACAGTGTGAGAGCACCAACTGCGGAGGCAGACGGGCCCCGGTCCCAGGGAGGCGTGTGACAGACCCCTGGTTGTGCCATAACTGCTTCCCCAACTAAGATCATAGAATCTTCCAGCACAGAAGGAGGCCATTCGGCCCATCGTACCTGTGCCAGCTCTTTGAAAGAGCTCCCAACTTATCCCACTCCCCCGCTCTTACCCGTTAGCCCTGCACATTTTTCCTTTTTAATTATATATCCAATTCCCTTTTGAAAGCTTCTATCCAATCTGTTTCCACAACCCTTTCAGGCAGTGAATTCCAGACCATAACAACTCTCTGGGTAAAAAAAATCTCCTCATCTCCCCTCTGGTTCTTTTGCCAATTATCTTAAATCTGTGTCCTCTGGTTACTGACCCAGCAGCCAGAGGAAAGAGTTTCTCCTCGTCTACTCTCAAGGTAGATCAGGAGACAGACATTGAACAAGATGAAGGAGGGTCCAAGGCGGAGGGACCAGCTCGGCTATTAATATTGTGACCATTCAACGATCTGAGCCACTGGCCAGGGTGATGGTGCTGTGTCAGTGTGGGGGTCAGCTGGAGGCTCCCTGTCTGTCTCTGGCCAGGGTGATGGGCCCTGTGTCACCTGGAGGCTGCCTGTCTGTCTCTGGCCAGGGTGATGGGTGCTGTGTCTCCTGGAGGCTGACTGACTCTCTCTCTCTCTTTCCCGTTAGTCTTCTAAGAAAAAGGCCAAGACTGCAGAGGCAGACACATCCAGCGAGCTGGCCAAGAGGAGTAAAGAGCTGTTCAGGAAGGAGGTGAGAAGCCGCATGTGTTCACAGTGTGAGAGCACCAACTGCGGAGGCAGGCGGGCCCCGGTCACCTGGGACTAATTTAGCACAGCAGTCGGCCCTCACTCCCTCCCCCACCCCCGTACAGCAATGACTGTGTTTTGGTGAGGGGGGGATATTGACCAGAACACTTGGGATGTCCATCTGAACATGCCGATGGGGGCTCAGCTTAACGCCTTAGCAGACGGACGGTGCTGTCTAAATACAGTGCTCCCCCAGTTCTAAACTCAGGGGTGTCAGCCTGGGCTGTGAGCTCAGCTCTTGGGCAGGATGTGAACACGCGACTTCCTGCCTCAGATGAACAACTGAATCCTGTCACTGGGGGCTGGGCGGCCATGCCTTACCAACCTGCCTGCTCCCTCCGCTCGGCGGGCACTGGCCTGCTCCATGTCCCCCACCCTGCCCGCCACACCATCAACGGTCAAGACTTCAGCCTCTCTGCTCCCACCTTCTGGAACTCCATCCCGGAGCCACTCCGCCTCGCCCCCTCCCTTGCCTCCTTCAAGGCCTGGCTCAAGACCTTCCTCTTTGACCGTGCCTTCAGTCACCCTCCCACACCCAACCACTTGCCTACACCTTTCTTGACTCCAAGCTCCAGCTTAGGTGTAAACCCATGACTGTTCGGGGCCTTGAGACGCTTGAGATGTTTTGCAGACGTGACGAGGCAGGTATGAAATGTTGGATTACAGGGTTATTGTATGGTGATTGAGCTAATGCCTTCTCCTGTCACTGACAGATCTCCCAGTTCATTGTTCTGTGTCTGAACCCCTACCGCAAGCCTGACTGTAAAATCGGCAGAATCGTGGCGACAGAAGACTTCAAACATCTGGCCCGAAAGGTAAATCGGTTCAAATTACATCAGCTCCGCGTTGTAATATCACCCCGCACAGGATCAGGCTTGTATGAAATGGATTGATGTGGTTTAATGTGGACAGACCTGTACAGAGTGCTGAGATTGAGGAATGGAACCTATGGTGTGCGCATACCTCCTGGGGGTGGGGTGGGAGGTGGGGTAAGGGGAGTCCCTAGGGCTGAGATTACGTCAAGGAAACACGCCTGGCAACGGAATGTCAGAATCAAGCCACCCCTCTGGGATGGTCTCTATTTTGGTTCCTGAGTCAGACGGATTTGCAGTATTCCAGCTGATGACAGCACAGCCCAGCCTGGTTCATCATTACCTCTTGTTAACTAACAGGTAGGGTGGTCCTAGCTGGACAAGCACCGGGAAAGCTTGTCAGGCAGCGATATTAACGGCAAGCTTGCAGAAAATATTCAAATGTAGACTGGAGTCCTGTAGTGTCATGATAAGAGCACTCGCCTCACAAGCGAAAGACCTGGGTTTCAATTTCCGGGCAGGGCGAAACTTTGGGCGAGTTTCCTTACTCCACAAATCTGTTTACCTAGCACGTAGGAACCTAGTTGTTAAATCGATTGGCAGATCGCTTTTCAGGGATTAATAATCCCTTTAAAAGAATAATGTGGTCACTCAATCCACGAATGTTTGTGGGACACTGCTGTGGGCAACTGCCTGCCACATCTTGGCCACAAAATATACAATCACTACACTTTACAGTATATCCTGTGAAGCGCTTGATAAGGCGCGATATCAAATGCAAGGATTATTATTATTACTACATGTAGGTGGCGTACATGGAATGTGGAAATTGTATACTCCTGTGACTCCTCCCTCTCTCTCTCTCTCCCCCTCTCTCTCATGCAGTTGACTCATGGAGTCATGAACAAGGAACTCAAACAGTGTAAGAACCCAGAGGACCTGGAGTGCAATGAGAATGTCAAGCACAAAACCAAGGAATACATCAAAAAGTACATGCAAAAGTTCGGAGCCACCTACAAACCGAAAGAGGAGCCCGACATGGAATAAGCTGCCCTCCCACACCTGACTGGCCCTATTTAGTTGCTTCTCAATGCCCTTAGTTATGTGTATTATATTGTTTTAACGCATATGTGAATATATTGAGGAAGCAAAGAGGAAAACCACTTTTGGCTCATGAGGAGGGACGAAGCCTTTTGCCGGTTCAGCGGGAGGTTTGTGTGTTCCCGTGTGGGCTCCCTCTCTCCCCTCTCCACACCCCATTACTGTGTAAATATTATAGGGTTGGTTAGATAGCAGCCTGTCCTGCCTGTACACACCGCTGGCAGTTCCCACAGCGCTGGCACTGATCGTTACTTCTTAACAAAAAATCAATTTACTGTATTAAATTTTTACGGACTTTTTTTAATGTAAAAAAAATTAAAATGGAGGTTTTCCCCCCTCCCTCACACTCCTCCCGCTTACGGTTTAAATGTGAGCAAAGGTGCTGACCGGAGCTGTGTGACCCCCTCCCCTGTGTGAGCATGTGTGTGTGCGCGTGGGTGCGTGCGTGTGAGAGAGAAAGTAAACGAACCATGTTGTAAAACGATCTGTGAACAGATACCAACTAAGGTACCGTTTCTGACCAGCGTGTCCTTGTTCTCACCCACCAGAGACGTGGAGCGAGAGTTTGTGTGTCTCTAGTTTTTAATGGAAGCAGTTTCTTGTGTGTGTGTTGGGGGGGTGGGGGGGGAATATCGGCAGTATTTTAATGGCAGTTTTCATATGGGGACAGACTGTGGATGTGATTGAGCAGAGTGTGTACCAGGGGTGGTGGGGGGGGAAACCACTATTAACTTGTTAAATCCCAGCCTTGGGAGTATGTACAGAGACGAAGCAAATCAGTTTCCCTTCGGTTTGTACACAGAGCAGATATTAAACATTGTTTTGGTTACGCAGGCCTTTTAATCACTTACTGGAGCAAAAGCAAATCTTCAGTGGTCAGGATCACGGTACCATTGTAGGGAAACTGCCAGGCAATTGATCCCAGGTAGACTGGGCAACCAAGAGGACCTGGGTTTGATTCCCGGGCAGGGCGAAATGTTGGACAAGTTTCCATACAGCAACAACAAAATTACATTTGTATAGCGCCTTTCACATCGGGAGGATGTTCCAAGATGCTGGACAGACAGAGTTATGGACCCGAGCTGAGGGTCGGGGTGGGGGAAGGTGGAGGGCAGGGGGGGAAGCAGGGAGATCGAAAGCACGGTCAAAGAAGAGGGTCTTGAGGTGAGTCTTTAAGGCGACGAGACGGAGGGACTGTGGGATGGAGTTCCAGAGGATGGGCACAGAGTGGCGGAAGGCCCGCCCACCAATAGTGGGACTGGCAAGGTGGGGGACGTGAAGCGGCTGGAGCCCGCTGAGCGGAAGGAGTGAACAGGATGGTAGGGGGTTAGAAGGTCGGAGAGGTCGGGTGGAGCAAGACCACGGAGGGCTTTGAAGGTGAGGACCAGGATCTTGAACTGTATCCCCTGTGTGATGGGAAGCCAGAGGAGTCGGGCGAGGATAGGGGTGATAGGGTCACGGAGCCCGGTGGGGGCGAGGATGGGGGTGATAGGCTCACGGAGCCGGTGCGGGAGAGGACACGGGCTGCAGAGTTCTGGATGATCTGCAGTCTGTGGAGGGAGGAGTTGGGGGCCGACAAGCAGTGAGTTGGTGTAGTCGAGCCTCGATGTAATGAAGGCGTGTGTGAGGGTTTCGGGGGCTGCGGTGTGAAACAGTAGCGGAGTTGGGCAATGTTGCGGAGGTGGGGAAGGCAGAGCGGGTCATGGCACAGATATGGGGTAGAAAGGATAGTTGAGGGTCAAACAAGACCCCAAGGTTCGGGACTGGCTCAGTGAGGGGGAGTGAGCCCCATGGATGGTGATGCTGTCAGCGCCTGAGGTGAGGAGGCGCTGACGGGAGTCAATCAGGAGCCTCGGTCTTGTTGACGTTCAACTGAAGAAAGTTCGCTCTCATCCAGGACTTGACGTCTGACAGACATTCTGTCAGGACAGCAGTGGGTCCTGGAGTCGAGGGCGGAGGCAGAGAGGGAGAGTTGGGTGTCATACATGTGGAAGTTGACCCCATGTCTGTGGATGATGTCACCAAGAGGAGCATATAGATATTGAAGAGGAGGGGACAAGGACAGCCCTGAGGAACACCGCACGAGACAGTGCGGGGGCGGGAGGAGAGGCCATTTGAGGAGATGAAGTGCAGGGGCTGTGAGAAGTACGATCTGAACCAGTGAACGCCAGCGCCGTGAAGGTTGAGGTGAGAGGAGAGGCAGTGGATTAAGATAGAGTGGTCGACGGCGTCGAAAGCAGCAGAGAGGTCAAGGACGAGGAGGCAGAGGGAGCCCTGATTGCAGATGGACAGAATATCATTTGTCACTGACCAGAGCTGTGTCTGTGCTGTGGGCGGCACAGAAACCTGATTGGAGGGGTTCGAGAAAGGAGTGGCGGGAGAGGAAGGAGTGAGCTGAGAAGAACAACTCGTTCTAGGACCTTGGAAGAGGAAGGGGAGGTTGGAGATGGGGCGGTAGTTAGGGAGTACAGAAGGGTCCAGGGAGGGTTTTCTAAGGATAGGAGTGATAACACCAGTTTGTAAAGGGGTGGGAACAGTACCAGAGGATTGGGAGAGGTTGACAATGTCAGTGAGTAGAGGGGCGCAAGGAGGTGGAGCTGGGAGGTGAGGAGGGGTCAAGGGAGCAGGTGTTGTGTTTCACACAGGTTATGGTGGTGATGAGAGATGGGGAGGGTGTGGCAGTTGCAGTGGCAGAGGCAGCTGAGCAGACTCCCTCGACTCTGGATTCGAGGAAGTCCAGCATCGCCTCGCAGTTGGCATTTGAGGTGAGGATGGGTGAGGCGTGAGAGGGTGGGCCGAGGAGTCGGATTTGTGATGGAGAAGAGGAGCCTGGGGTTGTCCTTAGCCTCCGAGATTGTCTTGGAGTAGAACGACGATGTAGCAGGCGGTGAGGGCGGAGCGGGGGTAGGATTTGACATGGTCAAAATAGTAATAATTTGATCCCTCAATCCCCGACTGTTTGTGGGACGCTGCTGTGTGCGATTGGCTGCCGCCTTTTGCCCACCAAATATACCATCAATTCACTTTACAGTATATCCTGTGAAGCTCTTTGAGACGTCTCGAAGACTTGATAAGGCGCTGTATCAACTGCAAGGATTATTGTTATTACAGGTAAATGGTGTACATGAAAAAAATGCAGCGAGACATAGATTGGGCAGGGAGGTGGGACATGAAGTATAATGTAGGGAAGTGCAAAGTCATCCACCTCGGTAGCAAAAACAGTAGAGCGGGTTATTTTTTTAGAAGGGGAGAGATTGGAATGTGTTGGCGTCCAGAGGGACTCGGGTGTCCTTGTACACCAATCACAGAAAGTTAGTCTGCGGTGCAGCAGCAATTAGGAAGACAAACGGTACGTTAGCATTCATTATGAAAGGATTAGAGTATAAGAGTAGGGAAGTCTTGCTGCAACTGTATAGGGCCCTGTGAGACCACACCTGGAATACTGTGTGCAGTTTTGGTCTCCTCATTTAAGGAAGGACGTACTTCCCTTGGAGGGGGTGCAGCGTAGATTTACTCGGTTAGTACCAGGGATGAAGGGGTTGAGTTACGAGGATAGGCTGACCAATTTGGGCCTATGTTCTCTAGAATATAGAAGAATTAGAGGGGATCTTATAGAAACCTATAAGATCATCAAAGGCCATGATAGAGTAGATAGTGGGAGATTGTTTCCCCGGTTGGAGAAACTAAAACCAGGGGTCACAACCTTAAAATCAGAGGTCAGCCCTTTCGCACTGAGTTGAGGAAGAACTTCTTCACTCAAACGGTGGTGAATGTATGGAACTCACTGCCCCAAAGGGCTGTTGACGCTCAGTCCTCGAACATATTCAAGACTGAGATAGATAGATAGATAGGTAGGTAGATAGGTAGATAGATAGGGATATGGGGATAAGGCAACGTCAGGTTATTAGCTGGAGTTAGATTAGAAGATCAGCCATGATTGAATGCGGGGCAGGCTCGAAGGGCTGAATAGTCTACTCTCCTACATGTTATGAAATGTGGAACTCTGTCTGGTGGACTTGGTAATTGAACACCCCTGTGACTCTTTCCCTGTCGCTCTCTCATGCAGTTCACTCATGGAGTCATGTATAATAATTATTATCCTTATATCAAATACAAGGATTATTTTTATGTGATTCTAGGAGCAGAACCAAAGCCAATCCACACTCCAGTCCCTACAGAGACCAAACCTCCAATTCTCTCCACAATAAATCTTACAATTTTGCAGCACAGAAGTTAATTAACATAATTAGTCTGTTCCCACTGGTTGGACACAAGTATAAGATAATGATTGTGGATCTAAGACAGAATTTAGGAGGAACTACTTCACATAGAGGGGTGTGAGATTGTGGAACTCGCCTGAAGCTGTGGTAGAACTAGTTAGTGTAGATACATTCATGAGGAAACTAGACCTTCATATGAGGGAAAGACGAATAGAGGGTGTGGGAGGGAGTGAGGACTTGTGTGGAGTATAAACACTGGCACATATAATAATAATAATAATAATAATAATCCTTGCATTTGATATAGCGCTTTTCACGTCAAAAGGACGTCCCAAAGCGCTTCACAGAACACACTGTAAAGTGAATTGACTGTATATTTGTGGGCGAACGCGGCAGCCAATTGCGCACAGCAATGTCCCACAAACAGTCGTAGATTGAAAATGACCAATTTATTATTGTTTTTGGTTTTGGAGGGATTATTATTAGGCTCTGTGTGGAGTAAGGAAACTTGCCCAAGGTTTCGCCCTCTGCCTGGAATTGAACTCAGGTCTCTCGATTGCAAAGCGAGTGCTCTAACCACTGAGCTACAGGACTCCACATACTGGTTGGGCCGAGTGGTCTGTTTCCCTGTCTGTGTTTTTCTGCCCAGCCGGGTGTTTGATCCATACGGAAACCCATCACCGTTGCTTAACAGTCTCTGAAACCAAACTGAGAATTCCACGCATCCCATCTACACATGGAAATTCCAGAGATATTTATTGGAATGGAATGTGCATTCTCTCCCTGGAGGAACACATCCTGCTTTCCTAATTCTGGAAGGTATTAGGCACAAGTTGATAAGAGCCAAGTCTTGGGGGCACCAGAGTGTGTGCTGGGGTAACTGTTGGGAGTCTAACCGGCTAAAACCGAGAATGCGATCGAGAGCGCTGTCTGGCAAGCTTTCCTGCTGCTTGTCCAACTAGGACCACCCTACCATTGGGACTCTCTTCCAGGCCCTGCCAATGAGCCAGGCTGAGCTGTTCTGTCATCAGCAGTGCCCTGGAATACTACGCTCCCAGCAGGCTCAGGAAGTGGACTAGAGACCTCAATCATGTCACCTTAGAGCCAGGTGGACCCTGCTTTCCTTCTCTTCCCCCCCCCCCCCCCCCCACTCCCCCTTTCCCCCAGGACAGCCATTAGGTGATCATTTGACATCCAACAAGCACAGGTTTGAGCCCTCATTGGGTTGATGGTGGGTATCAAGAACTCACTTAGCTTCCCTCTGGGCAGCTCAGCATTGGGTGAGAGCATTGCCACCATCCAACCACCTTATCCCATCACTGAAACATCTCAAACCGCTTCACAGGATTTACTGTAACTTGCAGTGACGATGTTTCTAGGTGAAGGCAGCAGCCAATTTACTCACAGTAATGTCCTGCGGACAGTATAAAGTGAATGACCAATGTCGGCCAGGACCAGAGAAACTTCCCATTTCCTGTAGCATCACTGCCCTCCACCCTCCCTGATCCCAACCCCCAGCTCGGGTCCAAAACACTGTCCAACGCATTGAGATGTCCTCCCGATGTGAAAAGCGCAATACAAATGTCATTTTGTTGTAGCACTGCATGAGTTTAACTGAAAGACGACATTGGTTTAACATTTCATCTGGAGGATGGCGTCCCTGATGATGCAATGATTCCCCCAGCAGCTGTACTGGAGCGTCAGCCCGGCTGTCAGCTCAATTTGCCCTTTGTGGGGCTTTATAGCAACTTGTGTTTATCTTGCGCCCTTGACAGGATTTTCTTTGGTCAGCGGGGTTTTCTGGAGGGATGCTAACCAGAGAGTGTTTGGTGCAGGTTGGTGAGAGCCAAGGCTTGGGGACCCCAGGGTATGTGTTGGGGTAACTGCTGGAGTCAGTTCAAAGGGGTTACCTGTGTTCAGACTTGAGGTAACGCCTTCCAGCAGCTGTAGCCCCCAAACGTCAAGAGTTCCCTCATCTGACGGGCATCTGCCTTCAGAGTGGTGGGAGTATCTTTACATGACAATTTGTGACATGTCAGCCATCTTGATGTTCTCATGGTCCTAGTCCAATGCTGGACTGAACCAGAGTCTGTCTGTGTGTGTGTGGGGGGGGGATGTATGACTCACGACTGAAGACCTTCGTCTTCTACCGTGCCTATGGTCCCCTCCCCCGGCTCTGTGTCAGGCTCTGCCGTCGTAAAGTGCTGTGAGACGCTGTGTTGTTATTGTTGAGATATCTGATGTTGGGGCGACTGAGGAAATGTAAATTGAACAAATATGCAGGAAAACCCAGAAACCAGAAAATACTTTTTACATACAAAATGCTTGATAACAAACAGCAAGTCCACCCCCTACCCCCACCCCCCACCCCCCAACCCCAGCCCAGGAGAATACAATCCACTTATAAAATACTGGAATAATTGTGGGCAATTATAAAAACATGTCGCATAACTCCTCTCACAACACAAAACTCTCTGCATTGACCTGACGCACAGCCCCCCACCACCACATCCCCCACCACACATACACATACAGCGTCTACCCCCTCACAATCAAGTCAATATCTGTCGTTCCCGCAGCAGACCAGAGAGGACCACAGAGAGACTGACCGACGGAGAGAAAGTGAAACAGATTCAGAAAGAGAGTCAGGGAGCGAAACTGAGCGAGACACACACGAAACACTCCGCAGATTCCCTCTCCCTGAAATCACCATTAAATATCTGTTTACAATACGGCTGAGGGGGTGGGAGGGGAAGGACAAGAGGGGTAGGGGTGTGTGGGAGGGGGCAAGAGGGGGTGGGTGGTGGGGGGTTGAGGAACAGGCAGGTCACAGCCTTACACAGAGCGAGAGTCAGATGGCAGTGGGTGGGTTGCTGTCCCCCCGCAGACCCTCTGCCACGTCCCCCCGGTTGATGGTGAGCAGAGCCTTGTTGAGGGCCTGGACGGTGCTGGTGTTTCTCGAGGCCCAGTCTGTCAGCAGTGTGTGCACCGGGTCCTCCCCACGGCCAAACATGGCCACACGCTCCTCATCATAGCCCAGCACAGCCGCCAGTGACCTCCAGCCCCCAGCCACCCCCAGAGCCGCCTCCACAGCCTGGCGCTGGGCCAGGGGACGGTCTCGGTACAGCTCCACACTCACACCTGGAGGCGGAGAGAGAGGAACAGTCACGTCAACACACACCATAACCCTCCCCCCAGCCCAGTCAACCCACAACACCCTCCAGCCCACAACATCCCCCCAACCCACCCTCCCCCCCACAGCATCTGCCCCCACCCACACACAACATCCCTGCAGGTGTGAGACGGGTAATTAGATTTGAGGTACAGCTGATCTTATAGAATGACCTAATCGGCTCGAGGGCTGAATGGCCGACTCATTGTTCACAGGATATTCGGTAAAGTACAACGTCTGTGTATTGTGTGGGCGAAACCCGGCAGACAGTTTGCGCCACATAATGATCCACAAACAGCCATGGAGCGAGTGACTCATTTTATTTGGGGGATTATTGTCCAGGACACCGGGAGAGAGAGAGAGAAACTCCCTTCTCTTTTCCGATAGCCCCGCGGGATCTCTAACATCCACCTGAACAGGCAGACGGGACCTCGGTTTAACGTCTCCTTCCGAGGACAGCACCTCCCACAGTGCAACCCCCCCGTCCCAGCGCTGTATTGGAGCGTCAGCTTAAACTGCGGCTCTTGAGATGGGTCTTGAAGGAGGTGAGGGAGGGGGCGAGACGGAGGGACTGTGGAATGGAGTCACAGAGGGTGGGGGCAGAGTGGAAAAAAGCCCGACGGCCATTCGTGGGGTGAGCGAGGCAGGGGACGTGAAGCAGGCTGGAGCTCACTGAGCGGAGGGAGTGAGCAGGTTGGTAGGGTGTTAGGAGATCGCAGATGTGGGTGGGGGGGGAGCAAGGCCATGAGGACTTTGAAAGTGAGGACCAGGATCTTGTGATGGGGAGCCAGTGGAGTCGGGCAAGGATGGGGGTAATAGGGTCACGGAGCCTGGTGCGGGAGAGGACACGGGCTGCAGAGTTCTGGATGATCTGCAGTCTGTGGAGGGAGGGGTTGGGGAGGCCGATAAACAGTTTGTGTAATTGAGCTTGGATGTTATAGATGTGTGTATGAGGGTTACGTTCCAGGGCCTTGGAGAGGAAAAGGGAGGTTGGAGATGATGTGATAGCTGGAGAGTAGGGATGGGTCCAGGGAAGGTGTTTTGAGGATGGGGGTGATGACAGCTACTTTTATGGGGGTGGGAACAGTCCCAGTGGATAATGATCTTGGTTATAAAAGGGGCCAGGATGTGGAGCTGGGAGATGAGGAGAGGGATGGGGTCGAGGGAAGGTGATGGCTTCATTTTTGAGATGATGGAGGTGAGGGAAGAGGGGGAGACAGGGTCAAAGGTGTGTAGGGAGGGATGGGTGGGGGACAGGATGTGAGGGGGTGTTGGGGAGGGGGTAGTAGTGGTGCGGGGGAGACGTAGCCGAGCGAATTCCCTCGATTTTGGAACTGAGGAAGTCGAACATCTCCTCCCGTTTGGAGGAGAGGAATGGGCGATGCACAGGAAGGTGGACAGAGGAGGTAGTTATTGTTGGAGAAGAGGAGCCTGGGGTTGTCCTTGACCTCCAAGATTATCTTGGAGTAAAGGATGATTTGGTGGAGGCGAGGGCAGAGCGGTAGGCCTTGGTATGGTCTAGCCAGATCTGCCAATGGACCGTTGGATTTGATTTGGTCCAGGTGCATTAGGCGGCATGCACTTGAGCCTTGAGGGATCAGTGATGGCTGGTGTTCCAGGGGATTATGGGAATAGGACGTGGTTCGGGAGGTGAGGGGAGCAAGGGAGTCAAGGATGGAGGAGAGGGAGTTGTGAAGAAGAGGAGGGTAGGTCACTGTGAGAGGAGAGCCAGAGGGGCAGGAGTTCGGATGGCTCCAGGTCAGAGGAGAGGGAGTGGGGGGAGATTTTTTTCCAAGGTCGGGAGGAGACAGAGGTGGGTTGAGTGGGGGGAAGGGGTACAGAGATGTTAAGGGAGATGATGGGCTTTGTCAGTGATGGTGACGTGAGACAGTGAGGCCCTGAATGATCACCAAGTCGAGGGGGTTAGGGTGTAGTGGATGTGGAGGGAGAGATTGTGGGAGAAGAGGGGAGAAGTCAACAGAGGTAGAGCAGGAGGGGGTGAAGTGGAGGTTGAAGTTGCTTAGGATGAGGAGGCATCAGTGCAGAGGGTGAGGGAAGATAGGAGGGTGGAGATGTCAGGGAGGAAAGTGGAGGAGGGCTTGGGGGGGTGGCGGTAGATGAGGAGAATTTTGAGGGAAATGTTGGAGGGGGGATAAAGGGTAACGTGCTCAAAGGAGGGGAAGGTTCTGGAGGGATAAGGGGACTGGGAGATGAGAGCCACACCGACACCACAGCGGTCAGGTGGAGGGGTGTGATGGAAGGTGTAGCCGGGTGGTGTGGCCTCTGTCAGGGGGAAAGTGTCGCCTGGAGTGACCTAAGTTTCAGTGAGGGCGAGAATGTCGATGTTTTCATTGACGATGAGGTCTTGGAGAGGAGAGTGTTTTGTTGGAGAGGGAACGGATATTTTGTAGGCAGATGCGGAGGGGACAGTTGGTGGCGGAATATGGGTGGTGAGGGGGCAGAGGGGGAGGATCGACAGGGAGAGTGGGGATGTGGAAAAAGATGTTGGCCCTCAGGTCAGGGACCGATGGGCCTTGCAGTGAGAATGGGGGATGGGGCAGTCAGAGTGGCTGCTGTTGGACAGCCAGCGGTGGGCCTGATGGAGGAATCTCAAGCTGGAGTAGAGGGAGGCAGTGGGACGGTCGAGCAGGGATAGGAGTCAGCGAGGGTGGTGGGAGAGGAAGACTGAGTGGGAGTAGTGGAGGGTAAAGGACAGGGGTGGGGGCATTGTGGGGAAGCAGCTCAGGGCGACAGCCGAAATGCACGCGCCGAGACTAAGAGAGAACGGTGGGGGAGGTGGGGGGTGAGCAGCGTGTCATGGTTAGCCCCGGATCATCTTGGGGAGGGGGGGGGACAACGTTATAGTCCCAGTGAGTCCAGGCTCCGAAATTCAAAAGTCATATCAGACTATATAGAGGTGTCCCTGTTAATGTGACACCTCCAGCCCCCCCCCCACCCTCTCGTGCGGCGTTCCTCAGGGCTCTGTCCTTGGTCCCTCCTCTTCAATATCTATATGATCCTCTTGGTGACATCATCCACAGACATGAGGTCAACTTCCACATGTATGACACCCAACTCTCCCTCTCTGCCTCCGCCCTCGACTCCAGGACCCACTGCTGTCCTGACAGAACGTCTGTCAGACGTCAAGTCCTGGATCAGAGCGAACTTTCTTCAGTTGAACGTCAACAAGACCGAGGCTCCTGATTGACTCCCGTCAGCGCCTCCTCACCTCAGGCACTGACAGCATCACCATCCATGGGGCTCACTCCCCCTCACTGAGCCAGTCCCGAACCTTGGGGTCTTGTTTGACCCTCAACTATCCTTTCTACCCCACATCTGCGCCATGACCCGCTCTGCCTTCCCCACCTCCGCAACATCCCCCGGCTCCACCACTGTCTCACACCGCAGCCCCCGAGACCCTCACACACACCTTCATTACATCGAGGCTCGACTACACCAACTCACTGCTTCTTGTGCTCCCCAACCCCTCCCTCCACAGACTGCAGATCATCCAGAACCCGGGGCCTAATCCCTGATTATTCAGGGCACTGGAACGTTCTCCTGACATGAAAAGTGTTTTATAAGTGTAACGGTTCCCGGGGAGGTGGGGGCTGTTATACTCACTCTTGCTGAGCTGCTCGCGGGGGTTGCCGGTCTCGAGGGGGGGGTCACCACCGTCGTTCTGCAGTTTCTCTGTCTCAGGGGAGGGGCCCAGCTCCCCCCGTGATTTACTGAGCTGCTGTTTCTGTTTACACGTCCTCCAGCTGTGGAGAGAGAGAGTTAGTGGAGGGGTTGGGGGGTGGGGGGCTCAGGGTCACTGCGGGCAGAGGGGGCAGGGAGGGGAATGTTGTGGAGTGGGGTCAGTGGAGGCGCGGATCAATGTCGGGGGAGCAGTGGGGGTGTTGGTCAGTGTGTGGGGGTCACTGTGGCAGGAGGGGTGTCAGTGTGGGTGGAGGGTCAGTGCGGGGGGGGAGGTCAGTGCGGGGGGGGAGGTCAGTGCGATGGGGTCAGTGTGGGGGAATTATTCCGTGGGGAGGGCTTTGGGTGGGAGTCAACGGAGGGGGTCAGTATGTGCTGGGGGGGGGTTCAGTGGGGGGGGGCAGCGTGCGGGGTGGGGGGGATGAGTGTGGGGGGGGTCAGTGTGTGTGGGGGACTCACCATTTAAAGCCCACATAGACCAGCAGACCGACCACAATGGCAGCCAGGATGGAGCAGTAAACGATGATGTTCCTCTCGTTCTGGTGGCTGTAATCCACGTCTGTGCCATTACCGCTACCGGTGCCGTTACTGCGCACGTGACCACCCACCATCGGCAGCTCCGAGCCCCCCGGCCTCCGTGGCAACATGGAGTTTTTTGCTAAAGAAAAAAAAAGTACAGAATCTCATCAAATAATAATAATAATAATCCTGGCATTTGATACAGAGGCTCATCACGTCTTCGAGACGTCTCAAAGCGCATCACAGGATACACTGTCAAGTGTAGTGACTGTATATTTTGTGCCCGAGACGTAGCAGCCAATTGCGCCCAGCAACATCCCCACAAACAGTCGTGGGTTGAGTGACCAAATTATTATTTTTTGAAGGGATTATTACCCCCTGGAAAGCGATCCGTTAATCGACTAACAACCAGGTTCCTACTGACTGCTGGAAAACAGACACGTGTGGAGTGAGGAAACTCGCCCAAGGTTCTGCCCGGCCCGGGAACCTGACCAAGTTCTCAGCTACTGGACTCTAAAAGGTCCAGTCACTCACACTGTCGCCAGCCCAGCGCCGGGGGGTGGGGGGGGGGGGAGAGAGGCCACTGTCAGAGACGCCGTCCTTCAGATGAGACGTTAAACCTCACTCCCCGTCTGTGCTCTGTTCAGGCGGACGTTAAGAGAAGGGAGTTTCTCTCTCTCTCTCTCTCTCTCCCGGTGTCCGGGCCGACAATACCCGGATACAGTCACTCTCTCACCTCACGGCTGTTGGGGCCTGTGTGGGATTAGCTGGTTACCCCAACGCACTCTCTGGGCTCCTCCCCCCCACCCCCAAGCCTTGGCTCTCGCCAACCTGCGCCTAATACTCTCCAGAATTAAGGAAGCAGGATTTGTCCCTCCAGGGAAAGAGAGAACGAGAGAGAGAGAGAGAGAGAGGGCACATTCCATTCCAGACACTGGGAGATTCCCAAGTGTGGGTAACAGACACGTGTGGAATTCTCCCTCTGGTCTGGAGGCTGTTAATCGCGGTGATGGGTTTCCGCGTGTGTCAGTCACCGTCTGATCACGGTGACGGGATCCCGGTAACATTCCTGTGCCGACACGGGGTGATTCGCGTGTTACACGCATGCGGAGACTCACGGAGACACACGGTGTTTGAGACGGTGCTGCAGTCACGGAGCACGAAGCTCTGGTCGTCACAGTGCCAACACGGCACACAAGCTTGCTCCCGGCTCTCGCGCTCCGAGAAGGTGTCGTTGGGGCAGCGTTGGCACTGGGTGTCGGTGCCCGCCTGGCACTGTGCCGTCACACCGTAACCAGGGGGGCAGGAGCTGCACTGCACACAGCCAGTCCCCGGCAGTAGGTAAGCACCCTCCCGGCACTGGCACCCCGTGTCCGCCTGTGCTGTGCACGGCATAGACTCCTGCTCCGGGCACCGGGTGCACGGCCGACACGGAGACATCCCCTCACTCGGGGAGAATGAGACGCCTGGAAGAGAGGACCAGAGTGTGAGACAACGCAGCACAGCACAGTGTAACACAGTACAACACAGCACAACACGGGACAGCACAAAACTGTACAACACAGACCTGCACAAAACTGCACAGCACAAAACTGCTCAACACAGCACAGCAGTGCTCAACACAATACAGCACAACACAGTCCACCACAGCGCAGTCCAGCACCGCTCAACACTGCACAACACAACGCTGCTCAACACAACACAGCACAACAGAGCACAGCACAACAGAGCACAACGCAGCTCAGCACAACACTGCACAGCACAACACTGCACAGCTCAACACAACACAGCCCTTATAATAATAAAGGGAACCGCTGGGTTGGTGAGGGTGATGGAGGTAATAATGGTCTCTGTACGGTTTACACACAGCTCAAAATAATAATAATCCTTGAATTTGACCCAGCGCCTCATCACGTCTTTGAGACGCCTCAAAGCGCTTCACGGGATGCACTGTAGAGTGTAGTGACTGTGTATTTTGTGGGAGAAACGCGGCAGCCAATTGGATTGAGTGACCAAATTTTATTATTATTATTTTTTTTTGAAGGGATTATTACCAATCGACTAATAACCGGGTTCCTACTGACTGCTGATAAACACAGACGTGTGGAGTGAGGAAACTTACCCAACATCTCTCCCTGCCCCGGGATCAGACCCAGGTTCTCACGCTTGCGAGGCGGGGGGTCTAACCCCTGAGCTACAGGACGAAACAGCACAGAATGGCGCCCCCCCCCCCCACCTCACCGCTCCCCCCCGCCCCCGCTCCACCCCCGGTGTGGCTCACCCTCACTGCACGCCTCACACTCGGTGTTGCTGACCCCACAGGCTCGGGCAACCCCGTGACCTGCGGGGCAGAAGTCACAGCACTCCCCCAGCTCCGTCACCTGCCCACTGCGGCACATGTCATCCGCTCCCACCTGGGGAGAGCGAGAGAGTGCGCGTGAGAGTGAGTGTGAGAGTGTGTGTGAGAATGAGTGAGAGTGAGTGTGAGAGCGATAGTGTGTGTGAGTGAGAGTAAGTGAGTGTGTGAGAGCGATAGTGTGTGTGTGAGTGAGAGTAAATGAGTGAGTGTGAGAGTGTGTGTGAGAATGAGTGAGAGTGAGAGAGTGAGTGTGAGAGCGATAGTGTGTGTGAGTGAGTGAGTGAGTGAGTGAGTGAGTGAGTGAGTGAGTGAGTGAGAGTAAGTGAGTGGGTGTGAGAGTGTGTGTGAGAGCGATAGTGTGTGTGTGAGTGAGAGTAAATGAGTGAGTGTGAGAGTGTGTATGAGAGTGAGAGCGATAGTGTGTGTGTGAGTGAGAGTGTGTATGAGTGAGAGTGAGTGAGTGTTTATCAGTGAGGGTGAGAGAGTGTGTGTGAGTGAGAGTGAGTGAGAATGTGTGTGAGTGAGAGTGAGAGAGTGTGCGGAAGTAAGATAGTGTGTGTGAGTGAGTGAGAGTAAGTGAGAGTGTGTGTGAGTGAGAGTGTGTGCGAGTGAGAGAGAGGAAGAGACAGACAGCGAGAAAGAGAGATAAAGGACAGTCAGTTATTACAACTGTAATTTGTTGTTGACATTTCCAAGCGCTTCACACCAGGACACGATTACACGATTGACTGTAAAGTGTAGTGACTGTGTTTGCAGGCAAACAGGCGGCCAATCTGTGCTCAGCCACATCCTGTAATAGTCTGTCTCTCTGTGTGTCTGTCTCTCTGTGTGTGTGTGTGTGCATAGTGTGTTAGGATATGTGTATGTGCATCTGTGTGTTTGCATGTGTGTGTGCAGCGTGTTAGTGTGTCTGTGTGTGTATGTGTGGTATGTCTGTTGTGTGTGTGTCTGTGTGTTTAAGTGTGTGTGTATATGTAGATGACACTCCACTCCATCACTCTGCCTCCACCCTCGACTCCGGGACCACTGCTGTGTCAGTGTGTGTATGTGTGAGACGGAGTTTGTGTGTGTGTGAGAGAGAGAGAGATGGTATGTGTGTGACGGTGTGTGTTTGTGTGTGAGAGTGTGTATTTGTGTTGGTGTGTGTGTGAGAGAGAGAGACAGTATGTGTGTGACGGTGTGTGTTTACGTGTGTGTGAGATGGTATGTGTGTGACATTGTGCGAGTCTGTGTGTGAGTGTATGACGGTGTCTGTGTGTGTGTATGAGTGTATGACGGTGTCTGTGTGTGTGTGAGTGCATGATGGTGTGTGTGTGAGTCTATGACAGTGTCTGTGTGTGTGTGTGACGATGTCTGTGTGTGTGTGAGTGTATGACGGTGTGTGTGTGTGTGTGTATGACGGTGTCTGTGTGTGGGTGAGTGTATGACGGTGTCTGTGTGTGTGATGGTATCTGTGTGTGTGTGAGTGTGAGTGTATGACGGTGTCTGTGTGTGTGAGTGTATGACGGTGTGTGTGTGAGTGCGTGTGACGGTGTGTGTGTGTGTGTGTGTGAGTGTATGACGGTGTGTGTGAGTGCGTGTGACGGTGTGTGTGTGTGTGTGAGTGTATGACGGTATCTGTGTGTGTGACGGTATCTGTGTGTGTGTGAGTGTGTGTGACGGTGTCTGTGAGTGTGTGAATGTGAGTGTATGACGGTGTCTGTGTGTGTGTGAGTGTGAGTGTATGACGGTGTCTGTGTGTGTGTGAGTGTATGACGGTGTCTGTGTGTGTGTGTGTGTATGACGGTGTGTGTATGTGTGTGTGTGAGTGTATGACGGTGTCTGTGTGTGTGTGTGTGACGGTGTCTGTGTGTGTGTGTGTGACGGTGTCTGTGTGTGTGTGTGTGTGTGTGAGTGTATGACGGTGTCTGTGTGTGTGTGTGTGTGTATGACGGTGTGTGTATGTGTGTGTGTGAGTGTATGACGGTGTCTGTGTGTGTGTGAGTGTATGACGGTGTCTGTGTGTGAGTGTATGACGGTGTCTGTGTGTGTGTGTGTGACGGTGTCTGTGTGTGTGTGTGTGTGACGGTGTCTGTGTGTGTGTGTGTGACGGTGTCTGTGTGTGTGTGTGTGTGACGGTGTCTGTGTGTGTGAGTGTATGACGGTGTCTGTGTGTGTGAGTGTATGACGGTGTCTGTGTGTGTGTGTGTGTGACGGTGTCTGTGTGTGTGATGTGAGGTGTCTGAGTGTGTTGTGTGTGTGTGTGTTGTGTGTGACGGTGTCTGTGTGTGTGTGTGTGTGACGGTGTCTGATGGTGTGTGTGTGTGACGGTGTGTGTGTGTGTGTAGCGAGCGAGCGACGGACATAAGGCACAGACGACAGACTCCCGAGGGAGAAGACACTGGGAGCAGAAAGTGGGGATTCTTTCAAGAACACACGGGATAAGATTTGTGTTCGGAAATAAAACCTGGGGACACAGCGTATAGTTTGGGACACAACACGTCAAGCGACGCGTCAGGGATGGAAGGCACCGCACCAGAAGGACCTTGTTCTCCCTTCATCCTTCCACATCTTATGTCCTTATTCCGCTCTCACTCCCCTCCCCGTCCGTGCCCTGTTCGGGCGGATGTTAAAGACCCTATAGCGGCGCCGTCGGAAAAGAGGTCTCTCTCTCTCTCTCTCTCTCGGTGTCCTGGCTGACGATCCCACCCTCGTAAAATAACTCGCTCACTTCGCGGCTGTTTATAACAATCGCAATCCTCGCATTTGAGTAAATTCCAATTGCGCTCAGCAGTGCCCCCCCCCCCCCCCACCGGCTGCGGAGCGAGCCACCCATTTTATTTATTTCGGTGTCCGGTAGTAGAGTGGTTCGCGCCCTCGCCTTCGCGGGCAACGGGACCCGGGTTCGATTCCCGGACGAGATGAATCCTTCGGCACGTTCCCGCTGACCAGCAGTCAGTGGGAACCCGGCTGTTAGTCGATTGGGGGATCGCTTTCCGGGGGTAACAACCCCTCCGAAAAAAATTGGGTCACTCAATCCACGACTGTTTGTGGGGACGCTGCTGTGCGCAATTGGCTGCCGCGTTTCGGCTCACAAAACACACAGTCACTACACTTTACAGAAAATTCTGTGCGACGTCTCAGCGACGAGGATTATTATCAATTATTATTGATTATTATTATTAACAACAACAACAAGATTCCATTTATAAAGTGCCTTTCACGTCAGGAGGACGTCCCAAGGCGCTGAAATGTCTTTTTAATGAAAGCAGATTCGTCCCCCGCCATGTCCTCTGCTTTCACTCTTTGTCTGTATCTCTGTGCCCAACCCTCAGCCAGGCACCAGGCAGCCAGGCAGCCAGGCACCAGGCACCAGGCAGCCAGGCACCAGGCAGCCAGGCACCAGGCAGCCAGGCACCAGGCAGCCAGGCACCAGGCAGCCAGGCACCAGGGAGTCAGGCACCAGGCAGCCAGGCGCCAGGCAGCCAGGCACCAGGCAGCCAGGCACCAGGGAGTCAGGCACCAGGCAGCCAGGCACCAGGCACCAGGCACCAGGCAGTCAGGCACCAGGCAGCCAGGCACCGGGGCAGGCACGCCAGGCAGCAGCCAGGCACGCCAGGCACCAGGCAGTCAGGCACCAGGGAGTCAGGCACCAGGCAGCCAGGCAAGGCGTCAGGCACCAGGCAGCCAGGCACCAGGCAGCCGGGGAGGCTAATTCACTCCATATGTAGGGCTGGAGAGGATTAGCGGTGAGGAGATGTGACACACACACTCCCTCCCTCCCTGTCTGTCTCCTTTGCCTGTCCCCCCCCCCCCCCCCCCCCCCGTGCCTTGCCTGGCTCCTTGCCTGTCCCCCCCCCTGCCCTCCTGCCTGTCCCCTGCCCTCCCTCCCTGCCCTCCCCCCCTGTCCCCCCCTGCCTCCCTGCCTGTCCCCCCTGCCCCTCCCCCCCTGCCCTCCCTGCCTGTCCCCCCCTGCCCTCCCTGCCTGTCCCCCCCTGCCCTCCCTGCCTGTCCCCCCCCCTGCCCTCCCTGCCTGTCCCCCCCTGCCTCCTGCCTGTCCCCCCCTGCCTCGTCCCCCCCCTGCCCTCCTGCCTCCCCCTGCCCTCCCTGCCTGTCCCCCCCCTGCCTCCCTGCCTGTCCCCCCCTGCCCTCCCTGCCTGTCCCCCCCCTGCCCTCCTGCCTGTCCCCCCCCTGCCCTCCCTGCCTGTCCCCCCCTCCCTGCCTGTCCCCCCCTGCCCTCCCTGCCTGTCCCCCCCCTGCCCTCCCTGCCCCCTGCCCTCCTGCCTGTCCCCCCCTGCCCTCCCTGCCTGTCCCCCCTCCCTCCCTGCCTGTCCCCCCCCTGCCCTCCCTGCCTGCCCCCCTGCCCCCTGCCCTGCCTGCCCCCCTGCCCCCTCCCTGCCTGCCCCCC